CAGACACAATTAATCGTCGACCCCCAGGAAAATATGGGAAAATATGGGAAGTGGGGGGGAAGACAACAACCCAGAAAATATGGGAAAATATGGGACGTATTTTTATTTGTGTGTATTTATTTGTGTGTTTGTGGGCCCCTTCAGTATCGACTACACGTAAGAGTGACCCGGTGCCAGAGTGACCTTCGGTGCGGGCCCATTGGGGTCCCCCGATGGCCGAACGCGGTGCGACAGCAGCGTCTTGCGCGCTCGGGTTGGGCCCCGTCGAGCCCCCCAGAAGCCGCGCACCAGTCACGTTTGCGTGTTGCCGAGCGTAAAAGGCGCACCGCCTTTCCATTCTAGGCGCCAGGAGTGTTCCCCGAGGTTGCAACCCAGCAGGTGCTCAATGACGTCTCTCGGGCCCGAGGCGCAGATGGAGAACATTGGCTAACGAACCTGATTGTCTTTGTGTCCTTTCGTGCGCCCGATCTGATACGCATACAAATGGAAAGCTGCCGGAGTGACTTCTGGTGCGGGCCGACCTGGGTCTCCCGATCGTTGACCGCGAAGTGTTAGCTAGCAGAGGCTTGCGCGCTCGGGTATGGCCCCCCCCCCCCCGCGTCCCCCGTGACGCCGCGCTCCAAAGGTCTTTCTTGCCTCAGCCTGGAGTGATTCTTGCGTGCAGCCCAGGGCTCCGACGTTTTGGGCTCTAGGTGGTGTTCTGGCCTTGGGGGTGCCTTCCAGCAGCTGCGCCTCGCCGAGAGCGTTCTGCGTTCTGGGGGTGCCCGAACCGTCCCGCTGGAGGCCCGAGTTCTGGTATGCGAGGGCGACGAGGATCATTCGGGTCGGAGGAGGACAACGTACCGGTACCGTTGTCTTTGCCTCGGTCTCGTTTTTGTTGGCCCACTTTGAGGCCCTCGACGCCACTGCTGAATTCTACTCGACATGCTGGTCAGCTCAGGGAGAGATTCGGGGAGAAGCCGTGAAGGGTGCCTTCTTATCTTCCTCAGGCATGACTGACCGAGTCGGTGTCGTTGGCTGGCTGGCTGGCTGGCTGGTCGACGTGTTCGTCCCGTGTTGGGCCCTGGAGTCATCAGAGATCGGTGCGGTTCGAGAAACGTTGCAGGAAGATTGGGTCTTGGGTTCCTGTCGTGATCTCGCGAGGGGCTGCGATCGCATGGGGGGATGTGAGATGGGTCATCTGGGGAAGTGTTCGGAGTGGGGCGGTGGGAGTCTGGGGCGGTTCGACGCCTGGGGTTGTTTTGGAGATGCCGCATGGTTTTCGACAGTGACCGGCTGGTGAAACATCGCCGTCAGACGCAAACATGAATGAGGTGTTGCCGCCGCAATCTTCACCGAACTGATGCTGCCCGCCTTACGCGCACTCTCAGATACTTGAAGGCGCCCTGCAAAAACCTGCCGCCCGCGACAGCGACTTTCCGTTGGGTCCGCCGAAGCCCACTAGCGTACCCCCGCGCGCACCCGGGTGTCGGACCTGGCGTTTACCCGACAGCGCGACCCGCGTGACCCTTACTTCCGGAAAATGTGGTCGCAATGCTTTGATTTGAATCGATCCCTTTTTCTCGGACTGTGAGACATGCAAGTCGAAGCGGCTTATGATTTGTTTGCCCCCACCAGCCTCGATTTCCAGACATGAATTCAATTGTTTGATGAAAAGTTCGAGTACAGGACTGCCAAGCTGGCACGTTTTTTTTTTTTTTTTTTTTTTTTTTTTTTTTTTTTTTTTTTTTTTTTTTTTTTTTTTTTTTTTTTTTTTTTTATGGACGCCGACCTTCCTGTATATATTTGTATATATATATATATGTATGTATGTATATATATGTATATATATACACATATCTATATATATATATAGATATGTATAGACAAATGTGTTCATATTCCAAATTTTAAAAGGCCGGGGACCCCAGAAAAAGCGCCCTCCCCACACCAAACGAACTTCGGACTCCCTGGGCTGCTCGGACGCCCTTGCAAAGGGTTCCTTTGGCCTTCCGGCCTTCTCGGAAGGTCCAAAGAGGCCTCCAATATTGCCCAAGACAGCTCGTCGACAGTTCCAAAGTACACCAAAGCCTTCAACATGGATTCCAAACGCCCCAAGAGGCCTCCAAGAGGCTTCCCAAGAGGGCCCGAAGAGGCAACATTCATTGATGTTTCAATGGTTTGTGAAGGCTTTTTCGGTTTTAGCTTTTCCGGGACAAGAACGGCCCAAGACGGCCCAAGAGGCTCCAAAGGTCGTCCCAACACGGCCTTAGAGGCCCCCCAAAAGGCCTCGAAAACGGCCCCAAGAGGGCCCGTAGACGGCCCAAGAGGGCCCGAAAATTACCAAGAGAGCCCCAAGACGGCCCCAAGAGAGCCTCAGGAGCACCCCAAGAAGCTCCCAAGAGGGCCCCAAGAGGCCCCCAAGACAGCCCGAAGACGGCCGAAGGCCTCCAAGACGGCCCGTAATGGCCCCAGAACGGCCCAAGAGAGTCGCAAAAAGTTCCAAAAGGGCCCCCAAGATGGCCCAAACAGACAGAACTCATTGATTTGTTGACAAGGTTTGAAGGTGTTTTCGGTTTTCGCTTTTTCGGGCCACGAACGGCCCAAGACGGCCCAAGAGCTGGAATTTCCTTGTAAAGAAATTATTGCAGGGATGTAGACATATTAATTACCGTGTAAAACGAGCGTCAAACGCTCTTGGGACGTTCAGACGTTGGAAGGCGTTGTCATTTGATTTCCATACGTAAATACATACACATGCACATGCATACATACGCAAAATAAATTCACATGTGCACACACATCCCCCCCGAACGCATTTCGGACTCCCCGGGCTGCTGGGAAGCCCCTTCCCGGGTTGCTCGACCTGCTGGGAAGCTCCCCGGGGGCTGCTCGGACGCTCTTGCAAGGGGGTTCTTCGACCTTCCGGCCTGAGGTGTTCAGACCATTCTTCGTTTGAGACTCGCTCGCGCAGCTGACTTCGGAGATGCCCTGCCCCATAGTGCTCGGGCCAGTTTCGCCTGAGACATCCTCGCAACGTCAACCTCGGATACGCCTTGCCGCGTAGCAATCAGACACGTAGCACTCCGACACGTTCACAAGGCCTCCAGATTTTTCCACAGGTTCTGGCGGCGCCCGTCGTTGAGTCCCTCTCAGGTCCTCCTGTCCTTCAACGCTCTCGGAGGCCAGCTCCCAGCGTCTTGCATCCGCGTCAGTTCCAGCCTCCATGCCATGGTTTCCGATCCTGAGCGTTCGTGCCTGCCTGTCCGCGGGTCCGCGGGACTCCTCCCATTACTCTTTCCCTTCGGCTTCCTCCTTCCCACTGACGGCTGAGACATCCTCGCAACTCTGACCCCAGAGAGGCCCTGCCCCAAGGTTGTCCGGCCACTTCCGCTTGAGACCTTCTCGCAAGTCTGGGTTCCGGGGCTCCCTGAGCTGAGGTGTTCCGGCCACTTTCGCTAGAAACATCCTCGCAAGTCTGGATTCCGAGAGGCCCTGCCGCAGAGTAGTCCGCCATTTTCACTTGAGACATCCTCGCAACTTTGGATTCAGGGATGTCCTGAGCTGAGGTGTTCAGGCCCTTTTCGTTTAAGACAACCTCGCAATTCTGGGTTCGGGGATGTCCTCAGCTGAGGTGGTCAATTCATTTTGGCTTGAAACATCCTCGCAACGCTGACATCGGAGATGCACTGCCCCGTAGTAGTCCGGCTACTTTCGCGTGAGACCCTCGCACCGCTGAGTTGCGAGATGCCCTGAGCAGGCGGTCGGGCCATTACCGCCTGAGATACGCATGTGTATGCGCACCCATAATTTCATATAGGTGCGTGCACCAACAAACACTTGCGAGTTACATATACATATACATATACATGCACCTATACATATACATATACATTTTCAAATGTAATATGTATATACATACATAACAGTATGCATGTGTGGTACACACATAGATACATGTGCAGAGCGTGCATGCTCGCGCGCGTGTATACCTGCATGCGCGCATGTGCGCACGCACGCACCCGTCTTGCGTGCGAAAATCAGAGGTCCAAGGTGCATGGCGCGCAGCGCCAATGCAGCCTTGTGTATATATATATAAAAATACACCTATACGACCATCCTTCGGGTGATAAGGAGGTTCGGGGGGGGGGAGGAACCAACATCTCACTCGATCGGCCTCACTATCGATCCCACTATCGATTTCAGTAGTGGTCTCGCTCGATCGATCTCCCTCGATCGATCCCACGATCGATCTCACTCGATCTATCTCACAATTGATCTGACTATCGATCTCACAATCGATCTCACAATCGATCCCACAATCGATATCTCAATCAGTCTCACTATCGATCTCACTATCGATATCACAACCGCTATCACAATCAACGTCGTCATCATCAACAACAACATCAACATCAACATCATCATCACCAACATCATCATAATCGGGACCCCGTCCTCATCATCAACACCAACATCATCATCATGGTCATCAACATCATCGGGACATCACCATCATCATCATCACCATCAGCACAACCATTTTCATCCTCAACATCATCATCAGCAGCATCGGGACACAGTCATCGTCATCATCATCATCAGCGGCATCATCACCGGGACACCATCATGATCACCACCGTTATCATCATCATCAACATCATGTCCATCGGGACACCATCATCATCATCTCATCCTCATCATCGGCATCATCATCATCATCATCTCTCCGTAACCATTTTGGCTCAAGTAAAACATCTATCAAGGCAGCTGGCCAGGACAGCTTCGCCTTGGTTTGGAAGCAGCCCCGACCAGGCTTCCGACCAGGGCTTTTCGCGCCACAGAACACCACATTTTGTGAATAGTTTCTCTGGCACAGCATGGGAAAGGATCACAGGCGCTCTGATTCTTCTTCGCCAGCGAGGGATCGGCGGGGTGCAAAGAAGAGTCACGTGAAGAAGGAAGGTCGACGGTCCTCCTCGCGATCAGCACGGCGCTCGTTGTCCCCTTCCAGCCGAGGCATGGAGTCTCCAGCACCCGTGTGCCAGCCGTCTCCAGCGTATTCGGCGGAGGAGTTCAAGCCAATGTTCCGTGAGCTAATGCTGGAGTTCAGTGGAAACATGACCAAGTCTATACACGAGTCGTTGGGCACGCTTCGTAACGAGATGGCGCACAACCTTCACATCGTGCAGTCGGAGGCGGAGGCGAGGTGCGCAGCCATCCAGACCACTCTCGACACGCTCCAGCAGAACCAGCAGGAGATGACGGACCGCATCCTGAGGATCGAGAGCGGCGGGGGAGCCGGTGGGGGCTCCCCTCCTTCGCGTGCTGATCCGTGGGCAGCCTACCAGTCCAGCACAGGAAGTGGCTCCAGTTCGCAGGGAGATGACGACAATAAGATATGGCTCCGAGGTTTCCCGCGCAAGTTGCTGGCACCGCAGTTTAAAGCACACTATGAGACGAAAGTGATGCCTCTATTGCACGATTCGATCAAACACAACGTCAAGCCCGTCTACCATAACATGTCTTTCTCGTACATGGTGGTGTTCCCGAGCAAAACGCATGCGCAGCAGTTCAAAGACGGCATTGCTTCTCGGCAGATGGAGTGCGATTGGGTCGACCCTCGGGACAACGTTCAACATCAGATCCGTGCTGGTGCTCACAAGCCGTTAGAGATCCGCAAGAGGGGCTTCGTATTGAGTCAGCTGTGGCGCATGGTCAAAGAGCACCTCGTCGTCAACCACTTGTGGCGCGAGGGCGTTTGCAGCTTGGGCACCAACGCGTACAAGGGCTCGCTGTACTTCTCGAACGGCATCGAAGCTTGGGAGTTATTCAAGGTTGAGGAGCAGAGCAGCGGCTACCGCATCACACCCTTGGTGGAAGATCTCGCGCAGATCCAGATGAACGAAGCGGGTGCCCAGGGTATCATCTCTCGAGTCACCTTCCCATAGGATGAGGACTTCGAGGACAACACCACAGAAGACATCCCTTCTCGCACAGCATACGTACCGAAGCAACGGTTCAAGGTGTGCACCTGGAATACGAAGGCTCTTTTTGGGAGTGTTCACGGCGAACATAGGGTACAAGAGCGTAGGTATGCCAGGTTTCGACACCTTCTCGAACGGCACGATATCGTCTGTTGCCAGGAGGTGCATGGCTCGGAAGGGGATCTTAGCACAGTGATGCGAGACTTTCCAGGATACCTGTTCTTTGGGAGCTTCTGCGAAGAAGCGCGAGCAGGTGGGTGTATGATTTGTCTTGCGCCTGAATTTGCCGAGCAGTTTCACACTATTGATTGTGCAGAGATCTTAGCAGGGCGGTGCCTCATTATCACTTGTTCGGGACCTGAAGGTGTTCTTCAGGTCTGTTGTCTTCATCTTGTTCCTTCCCTCTCTCGACCTGCCAAGCGTGCTCTCCTGCGCCAGATTCGAGATCGCTTTCTCAGTCCTGCTCAGGGGCTTGGGATTTTGGCAGGCGACTTTAACTTCTATGCGACGGGCGAGGCTCGACAGTATGGAGACGGCACACACCACAATAACTCACGCACGCTTGCCGAGCACTTCGATAACCTTTTTACTGACTTTGGTGAAGTGGAACAAAATCTGCACACACACAAGGAGGAGGTGGGAGGTAACGTTGTATCGATGGCGAGATTAGATCGTATTTATGTTAATTGCTTTCCTGCGGTTCTCAAAGATTTGCAACCTATGACGGGGGTAATAGGGTATGGAGTATCTGACTGGTGTAGTGATCACGCGCCTGTTTTTCTTGGCCTGGGAGTTCGGCGTGCTCCTCGCTATGATCAGGTTCCAGCGTGGCTGGCCAAGACGGCGGAATTTAAGGACGCTGTTGAGGAAGTGATGTCGGAGATTGTTTTGGAAGGTACGATTGGGGAAAAGCTTTCTCAATATAAACATGTTCTCTACGAAGCGGGGATGAGGGCAAGACGGAAAAGGGAGGAAAGGGGGGCCAGAACTATTCACGATAAAGTAAGTTGGATGTACGCAGTCTTGAATGCCGTTCGCACGAACAAGCATGCTGTTCTTAGGAGAGCTGTTCGGGCTTACCCTGCTTTGAGGGAGTTCGTGAATGAGGAGGAGGGGGTGTGGCACGATCTCGAGGGCTTCCACCAGCATCTTCAGAGGCTCACCCTTCAGACTCTTGCAGCGGAGGAGGAGGAGGTTCTTCGAAGCAGCTTGCCGCAGGCCATCAAAGATGCCCGTGTCAAGCGTATCAATCGTTTGCAGCAAGCCTGGGCACGAGTTCGCAGAGTAGCTCCGTTTGTAGGCATCTATGACGACCAGAGGAGGGAGATGACAGACCCTGCAGAGTGCTCCCGCCATCTTGCTGATCACTGGGGGGAGGTTCACAAGAGTAAGGAGGCCTGTGTTGCAGCGTACTCTGCTTTTGACGAGTTTGTACAGATTGCTCCTAATCACGTTGAATGGCAACTGTGCCGTGAAGAATTTTTCGAGCGTATCGATAGGTTGAAGGATTCGGCCCCGGGTGCGGATGGATTACCATACAGTTGTTGGAAGGTGGGGGAAGTGGGAAAAGAACTCTTATTCGAAGTGTACGAGCGCCTGTTCTCGCACGGCGAGTTGCCTGCAGGTTTTAACGAGTGCGTTGCAGTTTTCTCACCTAAAGGGGAGGAGGCGGAGGACGTGTGCAAGGGGATCTTCAGGGAACCAGCTACTACGAGACCTATCTCGCTCTCCAATTCGTGCAATAAGATTATTGCTAGTGCGGTGGCGCTCCCTCTGGCTCGTGTGGCTGTTCAAACGGTCGACGCGTGCCAGCGTGGATTTGTACCAGGCAGGCAGATTGTCGACAATATTATCGACCTGGAGGCCGATTTGCTTGAGCACGGGACAATATATGGTGAAAGAAAAACTGGTATCTGCCTTTTTGATGTTAAAGCTGCATTTCCTTCGGTTTATCACTCCTGGATTTTTCACATTTTGGAAGCCATGCAATTACCCCCAACTATTGTCCGTGCAGTGCGTGCTCTCTACTCCGACATCCAGATGAAGGTGTCTTTTAACGGCTGCCGTGATCACCAGTTTCCTGTGGAACGAGGGGTCAAGCAGGGGTGCCCGCTTAGCGGAGTCATTTTCGCGCTGTGTTTCGACCCGATCCTGCGGAGCATGATCGAGGCATTGCCAGTTCCAGGAGTGTTGAGAGCGTTTGCTGACGATGTTGGCCTCACGAGCGTCAACATGTACGAGTGCCTACCGCCAATTCTTCGTTTGTGGGTGAGTGCTGCAGGAGCAGCAGGTTTGGTCTTGAACCTCTCAAAGACTGAGTTGTGCTTCCTTTTCCCGCAATCGGACATCGCAGGTGAATTTCGGAGGAATGGAGTCCGCATTCGCAGTTTCAAGATTCGATCGAAGGTTCTTTATCTTGGGGTGTGGTTGGGCCCTGGGGCTCATGAAGTCGCGTGGGAGAAGCCCATCGCTAAGTGTCGTGCTCGGGGACTTCTTATTAGGGCTCTTGGAAAGTCTCTCGTGGGGAGCATACTGGCATACAACACGTACGGCTTCACAGTACTATCGTATATTATGCAGTTCTACCCTCCATCTAGTACGGCGTTGAAAAAAGAGCGGGATGTAGTCCAGTTGCTCACTGCCTCCCCACGTTTTTCGATCCCGTCGGACGTGCTGCGCGATTTCAAGGACCTGCAATTCGGGGTTGAGGTCCGATGCTTCCAGCTGGTGTGCGACGCCGCTCGTTATCGCGCTGCGTTTTACTCCTCTGCCTTTCACAGAGGGCGACTAGCTCTTGAGAATGCAGAAGCAAGTGATGAAAGGACTCTTACCCCAAGTCTTCCCGATTGGCGTGCCAATAGCATCCTGTACCAGATGGTCTCTTTGTATGATCGTATATGGCGTATTCCACGGGTTCCGCAAGCCCCCTGTGCTGAACTCCAGAAGAAAACCGAGAAGGCTCTGAGACCCCATCTATTTGCTATTCCCATGGCCAGAAGATTTCTTCCTAGAATGAGGTATTGGAGTAGTGAAGCCACTGTGAGTGAAGCCAATGATCTTGTGTCGCAACTGCGTGTAATAAATAAAGCTTTGCCTGTGTTTATAGGAATCAGTGTTGTCAAATCTGTATGTAACTCCTGGTGCACCACCCGCAGGTTCCAACAGGGGACCCTTTCGTGCCGTTTCGGGTGCTGTGCCGTGGGAGGAGATTCGCTCGAGCATTATCTTGTGTGTCCCATCTTTGTTGCTTCCGTGTCTCGCTTGCTTCCTGCTCTCCCCCCTCCTTTGGTCTCAGCACAATTTCCTTGACCGTGTATTCATGCGTTCCCACACGTGGAGCACGAGTGAACAGTTGCATGCACTTGCAGTATCGCTTGATTTGGGGCTCAGCACTTTCAATGCACAGAGAATGCAGGGGAGATTTGATTCTGTGCATGCTGTGCAGCACTTTGAAGGGAGGATCAGGGCCTTAAGCAGGAGGTCGCCCGTGCTGCGCAGCCTCTGCGTGTAGCCGCCCGTCACCGAGGAGCTTCTTCATGGGGTCGGGTATCATCATCATCATCATCAGCACCACCAACATCAGCATCAGCATCATCATCATCGTCATCATCGGTGAACCATCGTCATCATTACCAACTTGAGCATCATCATCATCACCATCATAATCCTCATCACCATCGGGACGCCGAAATCATCATCAACCTCATCATCATCAACATCATCGTCATCGGGACACAATCAGAATCAGCATCATCAACATCAACATCACCATACTCATCATCATCATCGGGACACCATCATCGTCATCATCACGATCATCAACATAAGCATCATGATCGTCCTCATCCCCATCGTTTTGACACCATCAGCATCACCATCATCATCACCGTCATCACCATCATCGACATCATCATCATCATCATCGGCATCATCATCGGGACGTCATCATCATATCATCATCATCATCGTTTTCCTCATCATCATCAGCATCACATTCATCATCACCATCGTCATCATTATCAGCAGCATCATTATCAACATCAATATCACCATCATCCTCATCATCATCATCATCATTCCATCATCGTCATCATCATCATCATCATCGTCATCATCATCATCGCGGGACACCAGCGGGACACCGCGGGGCACCGCGGGACATCGCGGGACACCGCGGGACACCGGCGGGACACAGGCGGGACACCGCGCGCCACCGGCCGCCCGGAAGAGACATATTTGGTCCGGCCGCGCCCCAGCCACAGGGACACCGACGGGACACCAGCGGGACACTGGCGGGGCACCGCGCGCCACCGGCCGCCCGGAAGAGACACATTTGGTCCGGCCGCGCCTCAGCCACAGGAGACGTTCCTCTCGCCCACCCACGCAGCTTCGCCTCGCCCGCGCGCACGGCACGCGCGAACACGAAACCGAAACCGATTTCCCCGTAGGGGGGCTCTCCGTTCCACGTCGACCTCACCCCCATCACCTCCGATATGTGTCCGACCGTTTTTCGACCGCAGACGAGTTTCAACATAGGACGCGCCAGAACAGTTCTCGTGTAGACAGCAATGTCCCTGCCGCGCCGCGCGATATTGCGGCATTCCGTTGTTCTGTTCGGCGTGGGTCAAGGAACGCACGTATTTCTCAGACGTCTCTCCCCGGTCGTCCACATGATCCTCATCAGCATACCATCATTTTTGTCATCTTCTTCATCCTCTTCCTGTCCCTGCTCGCCCCCTCTGACCCTGCCCCCTTCCTCTCTCCTGCCCTCCCTGCCTGCCTCTCCCGCCCGCGACGTTCACTACCGCACTCTCCCCCCCCGCTCAAACTGTTTTTTTGTGTTCCGACGATTTTGGCCGGGACCGAACGCCTCGGTCCTTTTTCGTGGGCGCTCGAGGGGCAATATCAGCCCCTGCGTTCACTGTCCTGTCCTTTAGACTCATACGCATCGCTGTACGGGCGAAAACCGAGGTTTCGCAGTGACACGTGCCTGGACGACTTGAAAGCGTTGTTCCCTGTCGGAGTGGAAAAGCATCCTCGTTTCCAGAGACATGCATTGTGCACGTTGCAAGAATAAAGTGGACTTGTACGTAGCTCAACACAAGGACAAGGATAATGTGAAGGGCAGAAAACAAACGGCGGTCATGGACGAAAAGGCATCCCCAAGGTTTCGTTCACGGAGCAGGAGGGTGAACAGAAAGGGTCTCGCCATCCTTCCACCGCCCCACCCACATCTCCTCGGAAAGTTTCGGTGTTGCCGCTGCTGGAGCAAACCTTGCTTCAGGCCACTGACCCCGATTTGCGCAACACTCTCCGGTCTCATGTCACCTAGCTGAAGCAGACTCAGAGTGTGCAGCATGGGTCCACCACTGGAGCTCTTCATTCCTTGCAGAGGGCCGACGGAGCGTGGCGCGACGCTAGCAAACACCTGGGGCCGTGCAGGCCGTGGTGAGGTTGAGGAAACAACTAGGCTTGGCGGAAGTGAAGGAGCAGCGACTTGCACGGGAGTGGGCCGAGGCCGAGCTTGTCAAGAAGCAAGCCGCGCAGATCTCGGTTGCTCGTGAAGATATCTCTCAGAATGGGCCGCAGTCTTCTCTGACAAGGGCTGTGGGCGCCTCTGGGAAGCCTTTCGGTTCCAGCTATGGGAGGCAGTTGTTTGAGAATGTAGACGGTCTCGACTTGGAGGAGGGTGACGGCGCAAAGCTCGCCAAAGTGCACCAGCAGCTCATCGACGCCCAGAAGTACCTCGACGGCGAGGCGGAGCAGTGCCCCGCCTCCATCAGGAAGGCGATCGAGCTGCGCGCGGCTGCTGACGCCAGGATGGCGAGGAAGCGCCGCGCCGCGCCAGAGCAGGCGGAACCACCGGGGTCAGCCGCAGCAGCCGCGCAGCCATGCACGCCACGTGGCGAGTCAGGCGCAGCGGCCGCGGCGACGACGGCCCCGAGCGAGGCACCGCAGGATGCTCAGCAGGCGGCTCGTGCCGACAGAGTTGCAGTCGAAGCCAAACAAGATATCCGAGGCCAAGTTTGCTGCGCAGGAGCGGGCGGTTAAGGAGGCTGCGGCTGTGGCAATCGACGACGACGACAGTCTGTGTTTAGATGTGGGCGATCGTCATCTGAGCAGAAGTACCGCGCCCACTTTCGCGAGCCGCGGCAGCCCGCGTGACCTCGGAGACGGGGCGTGCGCCGCGCCAATTTTGCTTAGTATTTCGCGCAGGCAAGAGCCCAAGGGGAATGATGATTCGATGCAGCTTGTGCATGGCAACTTCTCTGCCGTAGGTGACAAGGTGTGGAAATTCATCCAGGAGGCCCACTCGCGCCGGCATTTGAAGTTGTTTTTCCTTGTTGAGACACATGTCTCTAGACTTGTACTGTTGCCTTTGGTTCGCGAGGCTCGAGCTGCGAATCTGCGGCTCATGCCTAATCCAGCTTGAGCCACGGGGGAAACATCTTGCGCCTCGGGAGTCGAGAAGGCCACCGAGGGTGGCAAGTGGGTCCTTGCCCCTGGGCGCATGCAGGTGCACTCGACGGGCCCTCCGCCAGAGCATCTCTTCGGTCTCCAAGTTGACGGTCAGTCAATGATCGACGGTTTCACAGCTGCTAACGTTCACATGGTTCGATATTCTTTTGTCCCAGCTACCTTCTACGGGTGCGCTGCGATAGGGGTGGCCGATTGCAACCGTCACCGTTGTTTCTAGACCTGGATCTTTCCTAGCCCCTCTCTAACTCCCGCGGATTGTCATGGGCGGCTTCAACGTGACTTCTACCACTTTAGCTGCCTCTGGCTTGCTTGCGCGGGCAGGGGGCGAGGTCGCGAAGGCCCCCCATGAATCGCGCTTGCGACGCGGGCAGAGAAGGAAGTCGCAACGACTATGTGGTCAGAAGCTTCGCTGCCGCCGCCCGCTCGATCGAGGTCGCCCCTTTCGCGAGCGCCCGCGGGAAGACGCGCTGCGGCCCCGGTTTGTCTCTTAGGGCCCCGGGGAAACAGTTCCTCGCCAGGCGTTTAGTCTTGCCGGCCGGGCCCCTTCAGGTCGGTCGACCTCGTGGGGCCCCTACTCCAGGCTCTAAGTCCCAGCTGTCGCGCGCAGGTAGGGCACCCAGTCCCAGTCCAGCGCGGCTAAGACGCGGGACCGATATCAACAGCTTTTCGGGGATTTGCGGGGCTCGACCCAACCGTCTCAGGAGCAGGGTCCGATCAGCGGTGGAGCTTCGACCGCGGTGGGCGAGACAGACACGCGCCCCTTCGACGTCGAGCCCGATGTCCCGTCGGAGGAAGGCCCATGGGCGGACGAGCCAAAATTCGCGAAAAAACTCCTGGCTTGGGAGCGCCAGCTCGCCAGCTGGCCATAGCGACGCTGCCCTCGTTGCGAGGGATGTGGGGCCGAGGACAGCTGGCGGACCCGGCGCCGGCATTGAGCCCCCCATGCCTTTTGCGCGGAGCCCTGAGGCCACCGTGTGTTCACATGCCACAGCGCATTCCTAGCACTTCCTGGGGGCTCGCGCCACCTCTCGAGAGCCGCGCTGCTGCAGACGACGATGCCAACGCGCCGCTCGCCTCCGACGTCGCCCCCCCCCCCCCCCCCTCCCCCCCGAGCGCGTCTGTGGGGCCGCCCCCCCCCCCGGGGTGATGGATGCGAGGTTAGATTCTTCATTCCCGACGACGTGTGGATTGACGCCGGAGCGGCGGTTGGCTTCATCCCTCCGTCTCAGCGCCAGCCTCTGATGCCTTTGCATCGCCCGTAGCCGCGAGGCTTGGGCACCCTTCCGTTGCCCCCGCTTCGGCTCTGCACGGGCCATAGGCGGCGACATTGGAACGGGCGGTTTACGAGCGTCGTGGACTTGAGGTGCCGCCGACGCCATCTCGATCTCAGGGTTATCGCTTTCAGGTATCACAGGGTCGGATGCCGAATGCAGGCAGGCCGGCGCCGCGCAGGGGTGCGGTTGCTCCATGGTGGGGGAAGGTCTACGCGGCATTGCAACGCTGTGACAACCGCGGGAATCGAAGCTCGGGATACACTCAGCAACAACTGCTCGAGCAGGCTTGTAGGGATCTTCCTCGAGAGCGCCCGGGTCAGTCTCATCGCGGATGGCGCCATGACACGGGCCCTTCGCGGTCGGGTTGGCAAGCCCCCCTTCAGAACGGCGCATTTGGCAGCCAGCATGGGCTGGCCACGTGCGTCGCAGCAACTCAGCGGATCGCTGGCCGATGCAGGCGACGCGTGCCCAGAGTATATCTCAACGGTTCTCGGGAGTGGATGATCCAGTCGCCCTCGGCAGGAGCCCTCCGCGCGGCCATGCGCCAGGAACCCCATCCCTGCGGATGATGTGATCGTCGGGTCCCAGGCCCCCCTCCCCCCGAAGGATACCGTCGATTCGATGGCCGATGGGGTTCAGGAATCCATGGCCCCCCAAGGAACTCGACGAGGACGAGCTTCACGACGCTTTCGCGCGAGCGTGCGCGGCCACGCGCGAAGGCCAGCTCGCCATTACCCACGGGGGAGATTCGGAAAGCAGCTCGCGCTATGCGACCCAAGACAGGCACGGGGGCGGGCGTGCTTTCACCCACTGGCACTGAGCGCCGGCCAGGTGTTGCATTCCTTGAGCTGTCCAAGCTTTATGAGACGTTGGTGTGGCCGTCGCAGCTGGGCCTCATTATGGGATGCTTGCTGCCCGAGAAATCTTCCGGGGGCGGGGTCGTTGGGCCATTTGCCATGGTTGCGAGGATTTGGAGTCTAGCGCGGGAACCGCTCGTTGAGTCTTGGGCGGCATAGTCTGAGCCCGGATGGGGCGCTGCTGCAATCGGAAACGCTGCTTTGCGAGAAGCCGTTTTACGCGCGGTCGTGGAGGGGGCTTAGCTTTTGGATATCCACGGGTACTGCGATTCCATGGAATGGTTTTGGTTAATCCCAGCAGCTATGCGCGTGGGATATCCCCAGTTATGTTGCATTTGGAGCTGTCGCGTCGCCCCATGCCGCGCGCTTTGGGGCAAGGCCCCCCCAGCATTTCGCAGGGCATCCGATGGGGGAACTCGATTCGCACGCTGCCTCACACGTTTCATGTTCGCCCGCATGACCACCGCGCATCCAGGCATGTATTCGCGCATCTGGATCGACGATCTTGCCTGGCGCGCACATGCCTCGAGCAGGGCTCTAAGGAGCAATCGCTTAGCAGGCTTGCTAGACACATGCGAAGCTCTTCGTGAACACCAGCTCGCTGCATCGCCTAAGAGCATTACTTTGTGCACGCGCGCCGGGGATGCGCGCCGCGTTGCACGCGAGCTGCAACTTCGAGGCTTTGAGGCGAAAGCCAGCGTGCAAGCAGGGCAACCGGGGGCCGATGTAGAGGGCGGACGTTGCCACGCCCGCCAGGTCCGCACCAAAAGGGCATTGAGATTACGACCCACGCGCCGCGAGGTGGTCGGTTTCGCGAGGGCAGCCAGACGATATCATGCCACCAGCAGGCTCACCAGGGCAGGCGCATTTGCTGCAGAACTGCACGCCCGCCAATTGCATTGCGTTTCTGGAGCTGCAAGGGGCCTCGCTTAACCGCATGTTTGGATTTGCGCCGCCTTGGAGGGGGCCCGATCAACGCGCTGCCACGAGCATGTTTGCAGGTGCGGCTAAATCAATGGTTCATTGTGCCGAGTTTTCGGCCCAGTATTTCGCGGGCATGGCCCAAGCTGCTGGCCAAATTTCGCAGAACAGGTCCAGGACATCGGTCTCGTCCGGATCGCGGTCCCACGGGAGTCGTCATGTTGCATCTATTGGAAGCGGGGTGGGGCCCAGTGGAGTCCTCTCGATGGATCGCACCTGAGAGCGATGCATGCGGGGATCTGGCCGAGTGGAAATTCCCATCAGCTGAGTTGAAGGGCAACCTTATTGAGGACGACCCCGCGACAACGGGCGCTTCCTTTGCAGAGCATCCCGTCTCAGTCGCGCGCGGAGGTTCGTGGACGAGAGCCAGGAGGAGCGAGGATATCAAAGGGGGGCACGACGTTCCTCGCCCGCGATGCGAGAAGTTCCCAGGGACAATGTTCCATCGAGGGTGGAGCTGCGAGGCCAACCAAGGAGCCGAGACGTATCAGGCTAGTGAGGAGTGCGTTCCAACTGCGCATGCCCAGGTGGATGCCGAGCCGTGTCTATGGCTACGCGGGCTGCTCCCGTCAGCTCACGCTCAGGTCTTTCCTCCCCCTCATCAGGAACACTGGGCGATCACTGGAGTTAATTCGGAGATTTTGGGGGCTTGTCTTGGACATGGGAATATCTGGGATCCTCTGGTTGTCTTTGGAGACGCCAGTGGAGGGAAGCAGGCGCGTGATGCCAGGTTCACTCGTGTGGGCATATATGCTGCTGTATTACACTTTTCGGAACCAGTCTGCGTGAGAGCGTCTGTCAGTGACCCGTCGGCTGAAAACCGACAGGCTGTGCCTCGAGGGGAGTTACGTGCATTGCAGCTTCTTCGGGGGCCACATCGGGAACGATGTGTTGCATCACTAATTGCGACGTGGTCGCTCGGGTTTTTATACAGCAAACGAGGGCCTGTATTCCAGGCCGTCTGGGCCTAACGCTAATGTATGTATGGTTCGCCCTTGGAAAACGGATGCGGCGCAGGATAGGAGTCATGTCGGTGCCTGTGTTCGTCAAGTCACACTTGACCCCCGAGCAGATAGTTGGTCGAGAATTTTTTGTTTGGCTTGCGATTGGCAACGCAGTAGTTGATCATCTAGCCGCCCAGGCGGCTGACCGCGCTCGTGTGCCCGCTCAGGAACTGCATTCTGTTCAGAGCCACGTGCGACACGTTGGTCGCCGAGGAACTGGGTAGGAGTGGCTCTGTGAGGAGAAAGGGGACTCCTCCTCCCCATCCTCCTTCCGCCCCCTCTTTCTCGCTCTGTTGCGTCTTCTTTGTTATCGCAGCATGTGTGTTTTCGGATGACCGCAGACAGTGCACCATATGCCTAGGAACCAGTACCCAGAAAGAAGCCGTGTTTTATCCCTCGTACCATCAATAGTCAGCTCGCCTGTTTACCCTCGTGGGGGCGGTTCCATGTTGCTTGGGGGTGGGCACGTAGTTCACATCAGATGAGGCTTGAAAAAGGTGCCAGGTGTTTGGTTATGTATGACATGGGGTTGCTTCAGGGATCGGCTGTTGTATGTGAAGCCCCACCGTCGCGCGTACCTCATTAGGCTGACGGCGGACCTGTGGCCGAAGCATCTTAGCAAGGCTGAGCAGCTTCACCGTGGTCTTTCACTGTCCCCAACGACTACGTCGGATAGTTCGAAACTCGAACTAGACCCTCCCCCCATCTCTTTCCTTGTTTCTCTCTTCGCAGTGGCTGGCTCCTGAGATCCGAGGCTGCGAACAAAAATAGCAGCATCGCGACGAATCGCGACTGGAGCCCTCAACGCCGTCGTCTAGCGGCATTTGTCGAGCTGGGCCGATCTTTGATGGTCCGATGGTCCGAGGCCTGGCGAAACCGCCCGGTGCGATCAAAAACGCCCCGCCTTGATCTTACGTCGGGCATGTCCCCCTACAGGGGGGAAATTCAAAAATAGTCTACCAATATTCTGGGGACGATTTTCCGACTATGTTTGATTATGTTTGAGTATTATTCGAATATGTGTCAATTTTCGTCAAAATTTTCTTGTAGGAGGACATGCCCGACCTAACCCTGATCTTAGGGGCGCGCGGTTTCGATCGGGCGCGCCGGGCCAGTGCCTGTGGGCCCATCGCTCCCAGACCCCATCCTTTTACAGTGCAAGTCCTGGGATAGTGAATTCCCATCGACGCTCCGTGGTGGAAATTCGGCTTGATCTGGCAGGTTCCCGCCAAAATTGGTTAATTGGTGGCGATCGCGGGCTCAATGTGTGCGATTTTGGCGTGATGGCCCCCCCATGGGGTCTGTTAGCTTCTACTCGTCCCCACGAGGATCTCCCAGGAGAAGATGCCCACTAGTCCAGACCCGGGACGTGTTCACTTTTCCACAACGTGGACTCCCAAGGATCTCGATCTATTCTCCAGGACCGGATTTTCACCTTCAGTTGTTTTTGTTGACGGTTCCGGGGCCCAGCGAGGGCCCCCAGAGCCCGAAAATTACAAAATGCATTCGTTTTGCCTGATCCGACTCGATTCCGATGTTCCGATGTTTCTTTCGATCCAGTGCGGCTCTGTGCCTGCATGGCGCTGGTGTGCATCCTTGTGCGTCCTGACGGATTCGATTCCGACTCCGTTCCGATGGAGCCCGATCCGGCTCTCATTGCGATGTTGATTGATCTTGGGGGCTAAATCTACCTCCTTCCAGATGACGCAAGTCAAGGGGCCTATGCCAAATACCGTGAGCGTCTAAGGACGCATTGGTGTCGTTGCAACTGTATGAACATATATGTGCGTATCTGTATACGCGTTACGACATTCGAGGTGGATGCGTCTATAGACAACGCGACCGTTGCGTTCGACGCGCTGCAACCGCTACAAGGTCGGAGAAGTCATAGAGAGCGTCTACGGCATGCTCCTGCTCCGAGAGAGCAGTTCCCACATGGCACTTCAGGGCTTAACCCTTCCCTCCCTCCGCCGCCTGCGACGGCACCGCCCGCGGCCCGCTGGCCTGCCCCGCCCCGAGGCCCCCGAAACCCGGATGTCTCCAGGGCCGGCCACCCCACGGCCGCCGCCGGTGCCGCCGCGGCGCGGCGAGCTCTCGAAGACTCCGCTGGGGAGGGGGGAGGAGAGGGGAGGAGAGGGGAGGAAGAGGAGGAGGAGGAGGAGGAGGAGGAGGAGGAGGAGGAGGAACCTTAGGTCCGGGCGTTCCAGTTTTTGCACACCGAGCCCTCGGGGCCATCACAGATCCATCTGGCTCGAAAGATGGCTCAGAACGATCGGTTCCAGGGCTCTGGTCGTGATGTTTCGCCGTGCTGTAATTTTGTTTGCGGCGTCTGATCCCAGGGGAGGAGGAGAAAGAGGAGGAGGAGGAGGAGGAGGAGGAGAGCGAAGAAGAGGGTGAGGAGGACGATGTTCTAGGTTTTTGAGCGATTTCGCCAGTGCTCGTCGGTTCCCAAGCCTCAGGATGCTTCCCATGAGCTGCGCCTCGCCGAAAGCGTTCCGCGGATTGCCCGGATCGTCCCAAACGGCAGCGGGAGACACCACTGGCGGCAGCAGTAGAGCTTCTGCTGCTGCAAGGCGGGGGGCCTTCAAATCTGGGCGACCGACGCACAACGATCGCGACGGCCGGTTTTTGGACGTTCTCGGCCTACGGAGGCCGTCTTCCGGCCCCGGGAGCGTGAACAGAAACAAGTCGGGACGAAAGCGTCGATTCTGGGGGGGGAGGAGTGCCGGCAGCAACAGTTGGAATGATTAATTTGGTGGTCATCAGTGCGATGGTGGTTTCTGCTGTCTGCTTTCTTCAAGGTAGAGGCTGCCCAAACATGCCTAGCCACGATTGCGTAATCGACATGGTGGTTGGCCAATCATGCAGTCTGTCCAGGCAGGACCCCTGTCACGCCAACCATGTTTTTGATTACGAAATTGTTGGGAATGTTGGTTCCATGTTTCAGGATTCAGGATTTTCTTGAACACTTGCTCAACCGCCAACGCCCCAGCCACAATCCTCGAAGTCTGAACACGGGGCAGCGTTGGGGGGGTAGTCCTGGCGCCCAGACAACCGGCGCTCCAATGCGTTTTCCATGCGTGGCCCCCCTATAGGGCCGGCTTTTCGTCCTGAGTAGTTTTTTGATGGCCGTGGGGTCCGTCGAGGGCCCCCGGGGGCCGAAAATCATCTAAGCTAGTTTGAGCCGCTCCAAAATCTTCGGGGCCTCGGATCTCCGGGAATAGTGTGGTTCGGGGGGGAGGGCATCGTCCCTCAATCTCGGGCGACGGGATCTCTTCACATCCACTGCTCCTGGGCTCATGAGCGGTGTGTATGCTCTAGGATTGCCCCTCCCCCCCCCAGTATCGTTTAACCGACCCCCATTCCTATCCTCGAGACCCCCACCAAATTACCACCCCAGTTGGGGATACGCCCCTCGAAACCCGATGGGAACGGCCTATATCCCCATCTAGGGGGCTAAATCGGCCAGTGGGGCCCAGGGCACGCCGCTGGGGATGAGGATCGGCATGCCTCCTCCCCCGCCCGCTGAAAGGGGGGGTTACGAAATCTGCTGCATGCAGCCGGTTTCGGCCCCGCCGCACATGGGTGCCTCCCTGCGCTGGGAGGCGCTGGGAAATCAGAGTGAGGGGGCTGAACCGAACGGTCATTCACTGTCCCTGGGTGCGTGGCTGAAGTGGATTTCCGCGATGCGGATTATTGTTGTTGTTTGTTCTTTGTTATTTGTTGTTGTCGTCGTCCCACCCGCGACCCGCCCCGCGACCCACCCGCGACCCACCGCGCGACCCACCCGCGACCCACCCGCGACCCACCACGCGACCAACCCGCGACCCACCCCGCGACCCACCCGCGACCCACCCGCGACCCACCCGCGACCCACCCCGCGACCCGCCCGCGACCCACCCCGAGATCCCCCCCGGCGACCCACCCGCGACCCACCCGCGACCCACCCGCGACCCACCCGCGACCCACCCCGCGACCCACCCGCGACCCACCCGCGACCCACCCGCGACCCACCGCGACCCACCCGCGACCCACCCGCGACCCACCCCGCGACTCACCCAAAATGTTCGGCGCCTGCGGCGGGTTTCTTTTGCATTCGTTCCAGGTGGAGAACCTGCGACCCACCCGCGACCCAAACCGCGTTCAGTGTACAAATCAAAATTTCGGCGCCTGCGGCGGGCTGTTTTTGAATTCCTTCCAGGTGGAGGTGGAGAGCCCGCGACCCACCCGCGACCCAAACTACAATCACTGAACAAACCAAAATTTCGGCGCTTGCCGCGGCTTTCTTTTGCATCGGCGACCCACCCGCGACCCACGATGAGGACGAGGAGGACGATAAGGACGACGACGACGATGAGAAACGACGACGAGGAGAACGAGGACGCGGACGAGGAAGAGGAGGAGGAGGAGGAGGAGGAGCTGGAGGAGGAGGAGGAGGAGGAGGAGGAGGAGGAAGAAGAGGGCGCCATCGACAGGGAAGGTGAGGGCCACGAGGTCCGCTGGCTCGACGCCCGCTTCGCCCGCGCCCGCCCCCTCACTCTTATCCGCAATTGCGGGGTGCTACGTAAGCTACGTGAGCTGATTCTCTACCCTACCCTTTGCTATCCCCCACTTTCGTTCCCCCCGATCTAGGGTTGTCCACCCCCTCCCCTCCCAAGGCATATGGGATCGAGCCCTCCTCCCCCGCCCGCTGGATGGGTACGCTACGTCCGTGGGCCTCGCCAAGGCCCTCGCCAATGGGATCGCTCCCCTCCCCCCTCTGCGGTCGTGGCCCCGTGGGCGTGGCGCGATGGTTGGTGATGGTGCCCCCCCCCCTTCCGCCCGAGGCAGGGAGACCCCCAGGAACCGACGAAACCGTCAGTCGGTGGCGAGCGAGGGGAGAAGCCGAGAGGGAGAAGGCCTTCTCAGAAAGGTGGCGGGACTTCTCACAGGCCCTCGCGCCTTCTGAGCAGCTGTCGGTGTCTTCGGGGAAGGCTCAGAAAACTTCCAAGACGCCGACGCCGACGGAAGACGGCGACGGCGACGACGACGACGAGTTATGACCTGGAAGCCCGAGTTATGACCCAGAAGCCACAGCCATTCCGAGGAGGGCGTGTGTGGTGAGTCAGCGTGGGTCCAGTTGACCCAAAAGGGGGTCCAGCGACAAGGGGGTGGTGCAATAGATTTGGTGCAATAGATCTGTGGGGTTGCAATACATATGGGGCGTGCAATACATTCTGGGGCGCAAATGTAGTGTTGGGCTTTCGCGTGCAATAGTTTCGTTGCAATGCAATGCATCACAATTCTCTGGCGCAATAAGTTTGCAATATAATTTGCCAAAAATCTATTACACCACCCCGTTTTAGCTGGACCCCCTGTTGGGTCCACCAAAGTGGGGTTCGAGGTCACCGCACGGTCTTGGGACTCGGGTCGTTCTCGGTCGACTGGTGCTCTGGGGTGCCAAAGCCATGAGGTGGCGGACCGCGCGGTGAGGTCGCTGGGGATTCCCGGGTCACTGCGCGCTCTGTCACCACGGTTTGGGTTCCCACGGGGAGGATCATGGGGAGGAGCAGGATGCGGAGCTGGACTTCCTGATGTACGGTCTGGCCGGGGCCTCCCGACAGGCCCAGGAGCATACTTTCCACGGCCAGGGGGGCGATCGGTCCGACTGTGAGAACAGATGCGCCTGCGGCTGCGTGCGAGGAGGAGGAGGAGGCAGAGGGGGGGGCCAGCTGCAGCAGGGGAGTAAAAGGAGCAAGGGCAACCAGAGAGAATAATGGGGAAGGGACACCATGGGCAACCAGAGGGAAGGAGGGCAAGGAACGCTGTGGGAGGTGAAGGGAATGGAAGGGAATGGACGGAGCAGGGCAAGGTAGAGAGCCGTTGGCAGAGCCCTCCCGGAGTCAAGGATGGTCTTGTTGGAGCTGAAAGCTGGAAGCGGTCCGACTGCAGCCGACTGGTGGAGATCTCCGAGGCACTCGCCAGCACCGTTTTTGTTGCGCTTTTTTCTGTGCTTATGAACGTGATGATCGCTGTCTGTTCCTCACCTTTTCTGACAGCCCCCGCGCTCCGCCCATCCGTGCGTTCCTTTATGCTCCTTCCTCCCGCGTCCTGTCCAACCCCTCTGGCCATTCATTTCCGTTCGCCCTTCTGTCCTCAGTTTATAACCCAAATTACCATGGCCACCTCGAAGGCTAGGATCTGATTCGATTTGTACTTGTCTGCATGTTGATCAAAGCAGGCGAGCTTCAAGCGAGGACACAAATGACCTGATTTCGAAATGCTTGCAAGCAGTTCACGTCCACGCGTGACCTGACCATCATCCAACTGGTTGCACGTGGTCCTTGCTTGTACCCGCCCGTACCATACGCACAGCGCTTCATTGAAGTTTTTTTCCCACATGTTTCGAGGGGTTCTGGTTTTCTTCCCTGCCGCGTCGCACCCGCGTCTCCTTCACCTCCCCTCCTCCTCCTCCTCCTCCTCCTCCTCCTCCTCCTCCTCCTCCTCCTTCTTCCACACGCGCACCTTGCGGGCTCGCAACGCGTGGCAGGCGTGGCAAATTCTCGACACCAGAAGGGAATGCGCAGGGCGTTGTCTCTGAGCGCGGCCGCTATCCGAGCCGGTCGTCCAGGGCATAGCAGGCGTGGCACTTTTTCGACGCCATAGGGGGTGCGCAGGGGGTGGTCTCTGAGCGCGGCCGCTATCCGAGCCAGTCGTCCAGGGCGTAGCAGGCGTGGCACTTTCTCCACACCATACGGGGTCCGCAGGTCGTAGTTTCTAAGCGCGGCCGCTATCCGAGCCAGTCGTCCAGGGCATAGCGGGCGTGACATATTCTGGACACCATAGGGGGGCGCAGGGGATGGTCTCTGAGCGCGGCCACTATCCGAGCCTGTCGTCCAGGGCATAGAAGGCGTTGCTTTTTCTCGGCGCCATAGTAGGGTCCGCAGGTCGTGGTTTCGCGCGGCCGCTATCCGAGCCAGTCGTCTAGGGCGTAGCAGGCGTGGCATTTTTTCTAGTAACTTAAGGGGGTCCGCAGGTGGTGGTCTCTGAGCGCGGCCGCTATCCGAGCCGGTCGTCTGGGCGTAGCAGGCGTGGCATAGTCTCCACACCATAGGGGGTGCGCAGGGGTGGTCTTTGTGCGCGGCCGTTATCCGAGCCAGTCGTCCACGGCATAGCAGGCGTGGCACTTTCTCGACACCACAGGAAGTGCGACGGGCGTGGTTTCTGAGCGCGGCCGCTATCCGAGCCTGTCGTCCAGGGTTTTTGCGTAGAGGGCAGATTGAGCTCGAGCAACAGTCTCTTGCTCTGGCCGCCAGGGGTGGTCATAGATACGGTGGCTTGCCGTCATGGCCTTGCCCGACGCTGTCCCCACGGCGGCGCCCGGTGCCGATCCAGAGCGCGCGCCTCCTGTGACGATGGCCCAAGTGCGAGTCACGGATAGTCGGTCATTGGGCTGGGCTTTGCGACAGAGGGCCACCGATGTGTTCATGGAATTATGATTGCGTTTTACGACCATCGCAACGGCTTGTCCAGGCGATTTGTCAAATGTTGCATTGGCTTGAGGCGCAATCAGAGGCTTGCTGCCGAAGACAGCGCTCCGTGTTTATGTGTGTATATATATATATAGATATACTGCACCCTGCCAGGGGCTTTTCGCCGAAAGTCGCGTTCCTTCGCATTTTCCTTTCTTTCAGATATGAGCAGAGGCTTTCCGCCGAAGATCACGTTCCATAGTGTTCGTTACCTCGTGGGCGCCGCAGATCGTTTTCCATGTGTTTTGAACAAAAACTTGTTTCACATTCTCTCCACTCTCCTCCCTCCTCTCCTCATGACTGGCGTCATCAACGGCATCGGCGGGGCAACGGCCACCAACATCATTTTCACATGCTTCACTTGAGCTATCATCACTCCAGCCATACTATAAGTATGTGGGGTTCCCCGGTAGCGTAATCTAAACTGAGCTCTGTGCGCGCGTGGAAGGCCTGGCAAGGGCCCTTCGTTTCGTCCTTGCCAGCGAGGTGGGACAACTCTGCAGTTGGCCGCGTCTTGCATCGCCCACCCTTTTCACCCTCCTCCCTTTCTCTCGCTCCGCCTCCCTCAAGTTCCCGGTTTCGTCCCTACCATTCCCGTATGTCGCCAATCACGCCTTCGGTCACCCGCGGGGCCGCAAGGATGACCGACCTTCGCGCGTCGCGGTGCGGGACAGCGGCTGCTCTTCGCCACGGGTGCGAGGTCGCGAATATGACCTCGCGCCGCGCATCGCGGGGCGGGATGCGCGAGGCTGGGTGGCCCAGATTCCCATCCCACACGGTCGCCGAGATGTTGTTTCTCCAAAGGCCGCGGCCCCACTAGTCTTCGGTCGGGCCTACAGGCGGATTTGGGACGAAAAAAGACAATTACCCCAAACAAAATCCAGCATATTCAAGAATGGTAGAACAAATCGTCCCCTTATTATCTTAAAATTATGTTTGAATATTTTCCTTGTAAGGCGACAGGCACGACTTAAGAGTTATCCTTTTTCGCCCCAGTCCATGCTTGATGGTCCTGGGGCCGGGAGACGGCCCCGCCCCCGCCAGGAGGGTGGTAAGGGGAGGTGGCCTGAGAATGGGGGGAATGAGTACGAGGGTCCTAAAGGGGTCCTTTGGGCCCTTTTGGGGGCTGTTTTCTCCCGCCCCCCGTGCAGGTCACCCCTTCTACCACCAGCCCGACCCCGAGGGCCGAAATTTGGGAAACACCGGCCGTTGAGCAAGATCCCATCGTTGGAGATTCGAGCCCGATGCTCAGCATGCCTTCACGACGCGACCCAGGCTTGCTCAAGAGCGCCCCCTCGCTCGTGTGGTCCTTCGTGAGAGCGGCAGAGGGTCCAGTAAAATTTGTTTCGGGGGATTTCGTCCTCAATACTCACTTCTCCTCACTCAGTAGTCATTACTCGCTACTCCCTACTCGCTCCTCCCTACTCGCATTTGGTGGGCTTCTGGACGAAATCTGGGCCACATTCAGTTCATGTAGTTCCTAGCGCTGGGCAAATGCGGGTAAGAGTGAGGGGGCGGGCACGGATCGGGTCGCGGGTCCTTAGCGGGTGGGTCGCGGGGTGGGTCACGGGGTGGGTCGCGGGTGGGCCGCGGGTGGGTGGCGGGTGGGTGGCCAATAGGTCTTCGGTGGGTCGCGGGTGGATGGCGGACGGGTCGCGGGATGTGTTGTGAGTGGGAGGGCGGCAACAACAACAGCATGAGCAACTGACACCAATAGCATGATAGCAGTACTGACACCAACATTTACAACAACAACAACATCAACAACAACAACAGCATGAGCAACATCAACAACAACAACATCAGCAACAACAGCAGCAAGTTGTTGTTGCTGCTTTCAATGTTACAGCCATATCATCCAGAACTGCATCAAGACCAACCGTCCGTTTGATAGTGTTCGTTCTAATACGCGTGCGTTTCAATCAAGATGTGTTCCCCGAACCCTGGATACCCGCCCTCTTCGTCTTCGATCGTACCCCCTTTAGGGGGGATATCTTTCTTCCCTGCCACGTGTAATTGTCGCAGCCTTAAACAGAAGGGGGCCGCTGAGGGCTGCAAAGGGGCCAGGAAGGGCAGCGACAGGGCCACGAAGAGCCACATCGGGGCCCCGAAGGTCAGCGAGGGGGGCACGAATGCGACCGCGGGGCCACGAGCAGCATCGAGGGGGTCCAATAACGGTGCCACGAAAGGCATCGAGGAGGCCTCGAAGGCGGCGGCGGGGCCTGCAAGTCCGACCGCGGTATCGCGAGGGGCAGCGGAGAGCAGCGGAACGGGCGAGGCGCGGCGAGAGACGAGTGCGGGCCTCACCAGGCGGGTCGGGCGGGCGGACCTTGACGGGCGGGCCGAGCGGGCGGGTCGCGAAGGCGCGAGTCTTGCACAATGCGCCAGGGAGTCTCGGGCGAAGGCGCGATTCCCATGTAAACAATGAGGAAGTCCAGGGAGAGAGCGCAGTTCCTGGATGGCAGAAGCGCGGAGCCTCAGTGAATGGCAGGGAGGTCTCAGGCGAGAGCGCGATTCTTGAGGGCAGGTTGTGAGGAAGTTCCAAAGCAGGAGCGGGGGGTGCAATGATTGATGAGTAAGTATGGGGCGGGAGACGCTGTTGTAGTTCGGAGGTTAGGGGCCCAGTTGAGCCTCACGATGTTCTTTTATACAAAAAAAGTGTGCGAGCCCCGGGAGGGGAACGTGTGCAGGAGGCGGGATCAGCCATTTTATTCGTCAGTACTTGGAGTTTCAACATCAAAAACAGCAGCAGCAGCAACAACAACAACAGTCATTTCAAGACTATTAGCTCTTATCTGCTCGCGTGCCATTCATCACGTATTGTTTCCCAAGCCCTCGATGCTTGTCTTCTCCGTCTTCGATCTTACCCCTTTAGGCTCTTAGGGGTATATTTGTCTTCACTGCTACGTGTATTTCGTGCAGCCCCTAAGGCAGGGGAAGAGACTACGGATAGAAGGGAGGGACAAGGGGCAGGTGGGTTGCTGAAGCTTGCGTCCTGCATGAATCGCGAGGAGGTGTCGAGCGATAGCGCGATTCCCAAATAAACCGCTAGGAAATCCACAGCGAGAGCGTGATTCCTGAGAGTCGAGGGCGCGGCGTTGGAATCAATTTTAGGATTTACCAAGCGAGAGCGCCATTCATGTATGCATTGTGAGGAAGTCCCGCGCGAGATCGGGAATAAATGCGGGAGCTGTTGTTGCTGCAAACCGGGGCCGAACAACATAGTTTGGTGACATATTCCTTTGTACAAAGATAGGGTGCGAGTCCCCGGAGAAAAGCAACAAGTGAAGAAATACAATTGTTTCCAGAGGGGGGGACTAACCATCATTTCTTTTTTGGAAATGAGAGCTTCGCGTCAGCGACGACATCAACAACACCAACAACGACAACGACAACGCGAGCACAATCCGCACCGCGGAGCCCCACTTCAGCCACGAACCCAGCGGCAGTGAATGACCGCTCGGCCCTATCACTCCGATGGTAGGGCCGCGGAGATCCACAGACGCTCCCATGAAGTCTCATCGTAGACGCGTTAACGGCGATGCGGCTAACGGCGACGTAGGTTTCGGTGTTGCGTGAACGCGCGGCTCGTGCTTCCCCGCAATTCGCTGTGCCGTTTTCGCTCGATACATCTGCTGATCGGAAATATGGGAAAGCGTGGTTCGTGATTTCCTACAGTTCGGTTCCCAACCTCACCGTGAAGCAACATCGCCGCAAGCGTGGCCGTGGTCTCACCCGGCCTCCCGAGCCAGAGGCCCCACAGAAGCTCGCAGATGTTCGTGCCCGACGTCTGCACCGGCTCCACGGCGCGGGGGGGCCCGCGCGGTCTTGCCTCCACACCCTTCCCTCCTCGCCCTGCCGCTCCCGCCGGGGAGGAGGGCGAGGACGAAAACGAGGAGGACGAAGGGGAGGGAGGGAGGAGGACGACGAGGACGAGACGGAGGAGGACGAGGACGAGGACAAGGAGGAGGTGGAGGAGGTTGAGGAGGAGGTGCAGGAGGGAGGTAGGGGGCGGGGAGGACGAGGAGCAGGAGGAGGACGAGGATTCTGCCGGATTCCGCTGCCATGATCAACTTCTACGTCGAGCAAATCATCCGGAGCCGACGGTAAAAGGCGTTCACCATACCCCAGGCCTGTCCAGTGGGCGTCTTGGGGCGGCCACCAAAAGTCTAGTTCTCGTTTGTGGCTGAAAACATGTGGCTCCATCAACGCGACCCTCTTCCGCCCTGGCCCCCTCGTAGGGGGGTCACTGGGCGGGCCTGGTTCTGCTTCACGCACCTCCACACTGGTCCCGCCTGGCGGCAGGGGTCGTGGGGCGGGCCTGGCTCGGCTTCACCCCCGGCCCATCCTCAAACATCTCGCAGTCACCGCGTGCACTGCCACAGAGTTCATTCTCGCACGAACATCTCCAAGCATTGTAGCTGATGTGTCGCGGAATGCCGCCCTTCTCAGATGAACTACTCGCAGCGTTGTAGTTGATATGTCGCTCACTGGCGCCCTTCGCAGATGAACTACTCTCAGCGTTGTAGCCGATATGTCGCTCGCTGCCTGCCGTCTCGCAGCAACCACACTCAGCGTTGTAGCTGATAAGTCGCCCACTGTCAACCTTCTGACATGAACCACTCTCAGCGTTGTAATTGATGTGTCCCTCACTGCCTGCCTTCTCGCATTCACTTCTCCCAGCGTTGTAGCCGATACGTCGTTCACTGCTTGCCTTCTCGCATGAACTACACGCAGAGTCGTCGGTGATAAGTCACCCACCGCCTGCCTCCTAGTATGACTAAACGTTTCCAAGCGTTGTAGCTGAGATGTCTTCCTCATTGCCGCCCTTCTCGCTTGGGCTGCTGCCAGCGTTGTACACGGTTCGCTACTCAATGGTTGTTTTCTCGTTTGGACAGTTCCAGCGTTGTTGTTGACATGACGCCCACGGTCTGTTTTGGGCTCGGGTTTCAGCCCACAGCTTTGTCTCGCCTGCACTGTCCCCAGCGTTGCAGCTAGTCTTTCGCTCACTGCCGCCCTTCTCGCATGAGCAACTCCCAGCAGTATACTTGATATGTCGCCCACGTCTTGCAGAGAGCTCGAGATGCGCTCACAGCTCCCCTTTGCACGCACGACCCCCACTGATGCAGCGCATTCTGGCTGCTCGCCGCCGCCCTTTTCGCGCGAGCTGATCCCAGCTCTGTAGCTGACGATCTGCTTTCGCACGGCCGCGCTGATCCCAGCGTTGTAGCTGAAGTCGTTGATCACCAGCGTCTGCCTGCACACTTTTCGCGGTCCTCGGCTAGGCATCGGGAGGTGAATCGGCGCCGCCCCAACTCTCTTATACTACATGTGCGTCGCCCCCCCCAGTGGCGACGCGCGCACCGAGACATCTAATAGTATATGCGTCTTGGCGGGCGCTTTCTGGCCACACCGCTCGGGAAACGATCTACTACAAGATGGGTATGCTATATGTTCGGGTCGGACGCGCGCCTCCACGGAGAACATATAGTACTAGAATGTATATGTGCGTCCTAGTGAAGGGGGAGGGCAAGGAGGCAAGGAAGAGAGAGGGAGGGACGGCCCGCCGTCTTGACGGCTCTCTGTCGACTGGGCCCGCGCACGGCCGTTGGCTTCCAGAGAAGAGGCGCGGGTATGGCTCCCAGGGGCAATCTCCACTCTCAAGTCCGGCCCATCAGAGTACCCTGACCACGCGGACAGGCCCTTGGGTGGATAGTGGCTACGGAGGAGGAGGAGGAGGACGGGGATGGGGAGGAGGACGAGGACGAGGACGAGGACGAGGACGAGGACGAGGACGAGGACGAGGAGGAGGAGGAGGAGGAGGAGGAGGAGAGAAGGATGAGGACGAGGACGGCGAAGGGGAGGAGGTGTACAGGTCGAAGAGAGGACGTCTTGAAAGACGCGCAGGGGCGGTCGGCAGCAAGGATATCCTCCTTGTCTGTCATCGGGCCCTCGCCGCCCTTCGAACCAGTGCTTAGTGTGTCCCTCCGCAGGGTCTGGCCCACCACGCTTCGGCGCGACACGCTATCCGGTTCTCGGTCCCCAAGCGTGCGCCAACGTACCGATTTTGGTCCGCTTTCCCGCCCCGCGGAGCGGAGCGACACGCTATCCACTCGCAAGGCGTCGCGTGTCGCCGGGGCCGCCGCCGAGACAACGCTGAGCAGAAGTTCCTGCCCTCTGGACGCCCGAAATGGGTACGGAAAGAATGGGTACGATGCCCAACAGCAGTTCCTGTTCATCTTGAACAGGGCTCGCTGTCCACGCCGCCGCGGCCTGTGTCCATTCGAGACAGAAAGCTGCCTGCCCAACAGCGGCCGCTGTTGGTTTGGGACAACATTTGTTGTTGGGCATTGTGCCCATTCTTTCCGTGCCCATTTCGCCAAATGCCCGCACCTCCACCCCTAGAAAACAGCCACGTGCTGACTCCACGGGGGGATGCTTGTGGCCGCAGCCTTGGCCGACGGGTCGCCCCCGGCGGCCCCGCGCGGGGGTCGATGCGGCGCGCGGGCAGGCAGGGGGCGAGAAGCACGTGCAACGACAACTGCGGCGAGGAGGAGGAGGAGGAGGAGGAGGAGGAGGAGGAGGAGGAGGAGGAGCAGCAGCGGGGCGGCGAGGCAGAAGACGAGGAGGGAGATAGAGGGGCCGGCGCATGAGCGGAGCGGAGGGCAGGGAGCGGCGCAGGGAGCGGCGGCCGGGAGGCCGACGCGAGGCCGAGGCGGGAGGCGTCGGGGGCGAGACGCGGGGGCGGCCCGGGGCGGCGGGGGCCCCGCCCGCCCGGCCCCAGCGCGAGGCGCCCGCCGCCGACCCCCGCGCCCTGCCGCAGCTGCACGGCGCCCGCGGCGGCGAGAGCGCCCTCGCGGCGGAGGCGGGCGCCTGCGAGCGGCCGCGCCGCGGCGCCGAGGAGGCGGGGCACGGCCTCGCGAGGAGGGCGAAGGGGCTCGAGAGGCTCCTCCTCCTCCTCCTCCTCCTCCTCCTCCTCCTCCTCCTCCTCCTCCCTAACTTGGTGGGCCTACGTGGCGAAGCGTCCTGGCTCGCCTACGTAGGCCCACCAACTTAGTAGCCTTCTGGGAGCCACGTGCGGTCTCTGCGCGAGGAGTGTCCTCGGAGCAGCTCTGGCCGAGAGACTGGCGTGTCTTAGCACGTCGGCTCTGCGTTCTAAGAACATTGTTTTTTCTAGGCCTCCTAGATGGGGTCGGAGCAGATGGGGTCGGAGAGTCGCGCCACATCGCCGATGCATCGACGATGCGGCTCGATGCGGAGCCCGATTTTCCCCACGCCGACGGCGCCGATGCATCGCCGACGTCGACGCCTCATCACCGGTGCATCGCTGATGCATCGCCGATGCATCGCCGATGTATCGTCGATGTATTGGCGATGCGGCGCGGTCCTCCGACCCCATCTACTCCGACCCCGTCTAGGAGGCCTCTATTTTTGCTCTTAGAACATTCTTTGGTTCTGAGAGCATGTCATGCACGGTAGGCCTACAGGAATGCCGGGACGGTCGGTTCCTGTTCCATCTTGCTGGCCAGTGGAGGGGGAGGTGGGTCTCGAGGAAAAAAGACGCCACAAGCATAATAACATTTAGAGCTCCGCGAGGATTTTTGGGACCCGCGCTGGGCCCCCCGGCGGCGCCTCCGGCGCCGCTCCTGGCGCGCTCCGCGCGGCAGGGAGGGGGGTCCAGCGCGGATCCAAGAAATCCCCGCGGCGCGCCAAAAGGTTATGCTTGTGGTTTTTGCTTTCTTCTATCGAGAGGCCTCTGCTGGCCAGGGGAGGAAGAGGTGAGCCGTGGCAGCTTTTCTCGCAGGCGTGTCAGCTCTGGTTCCAGGCGCTCCCCCGAAGCAGTGCAGACGAGAGCACCGCGTTGCCGTGGCTCGTCCTGGCGCGCCCGCGTCGCCGGTTCGCCGGAGCCTCCTCGGCATGCCGGGCAGCGTGCGCCCCAGGGAGAGGTCCAGGGGTGAGCGGTGCGGTGGAGACCCGTGCCAAGGAGCACTCTGCTTGCCTCCCGGGTGCCCCTGGGTGTCGTGGGCTGCGGTGGTGGTGCGGTGCGCTGCGCGACGCCCACACACCGAAGATCCATGCACGCCCTGGGGCCTCAGGCTTGGGTTTCCTGCGGGAGGTTTCTCGTGGTCGGGCCCCTGCCGTATCGGTCTCGTTTTGCCCGCCCAGGTGGCCTGGGCGCTGCAAGTCTTCCACGCCGGGCGCTTCCGCCCGCTTCGGGCCCCTGGGGCCACAGCAGATGAGTCGGGCCCAGAGGGCGCCGCAAAGGGAGATGGGGTCTTCAGGGTTCTGTTCGCGTCGTCGGATCTCAGGGGAGGGCCTCGAGGAATCCGACGCCTCTGGCATGGCGTCCGATCGGCCCTCCCTTCGGGCTTCTGTGCGGGGGCTGCTTCTCCAGAGAAAGCCCGGAAGGTCAGGGGCAGCGTGGGATGGGCTCAGGGGGGACGACGGGCTCGAGACTCGACACGCTCTAGGTTTGAGGTTGTCGCGCGTTGCCGTCAGTTCTCGGCGGTCTTCCCGCCTCGGGATGTTCCTGAGCAGCTGCGCCTCGCCGAGAGCGTGCCAGGGGTGCCCAGCCCGAGTGGTGGCCCAACAGCCACCAGGGGCAACGAGGGGGGAGGCATCGACAGCCGATCGCCCATGCCAGCTCGACGTTTCCCCTTCGGAGCCCTTTCCCCCCTACTGTGCCCCAGGGTCAGTGCGCGTGCGCCCGACGGTGGGGTGGGGTAGCTCACAACGCACGAAAGGTTTGTGATTTCCTCCGCCTCCCGGCTCTCTCCTGCTCCCGCTTCGCCTCCCTTCCTCGCCCTCGTCCCTCTTTTGCCAGGCCAGTGCTCGTTCGTGGAGTCCCCTTCACCTCAGTAGTTAGGGAAACGGCGCCACTTCCAGCACGACAGCTAGACTGCTATGAGCCTGCGCACTTGCTAGATGCAGGTGTGGACTTATGACTTGTACGGTCGGACCGAAGTATAACATCGAGGCCGGTTCGGGGAGGGTGCCCTCGTGCTCTTCGTGTTTGTTGGATGCTCTTGTGCGCCCCCGGGGAAGGGCATGCCCTCGAGTGCTCTGAAGTCTGGCCGTGATTTTCCCCTCAGAGGGCCCCCCAGCGAGCCGAGGGGGTCGCGCCTCCGCAGCCGCGGAGGATCGTTCCTCCGCCCCCCCCTCGGCACCTCGGGCGGTGGCCGCGGGTCAAACGCGTGTGCGCGCGGCCGTTCGGCTAACCGCCCGCGCGCTCGGCGGAGCGGGCCTCCGTCTGTCGGCCCCGCGACGTTGTGTTTGTCCTCCCCAGGCCGTCGGGAGCCTTGGCAGAGCCCGTCGCTCCGCCAGCTCTGCCCCGCCGCGCCGCGGCGTCACTCGCCGTCAGCTCCGTGGTCCCGAGGCGTCACGGCCCCGAGCCTTCCCGAGCCTCCCGCCCCGCGGAGCGGAGCGTCACGACCTCCGCTCGCAGGGCAGAGCGCGTCGTCGGGGCGGCACGCCGGGCAGAGGTTCCCGACCGCAGCGCTTCGCCAGGGGATGTCAGGGCGTCGACGGCGTGAAGAAAGGCCACAGGAGAGTCTTACAGGAGGGGACGTGGAGCCCTGGACCGCCCCTCTAGATCGCCAGGTCCGGCAGCGGTTCCGCCTGAGATTCCTTCCGACCTTCCCAGCTCGAGAAGGTCGCCCCGTGGCCACGGAGGGGAGGAGAGCAGCACGGGAAGGGAGGAGAGGAGGCGGAGAAGGCAGCAGCAGAAGCGGACAGTGCAGGCGCGGCCCGGCCGGCACCCCCGCGCGCCCTGGCGCCTGAGAGTCCTTCCCAGTGTACTGTCAATGCCGGCGACTTGCTTGCTCCAGACAGCCACGATCTTTGTGCAAGAGCGCACTAGGTTGCGCACGGCCATGCTCTCACCACTGTCCCGGCTGCTCCCACCCCTGCCTCGCCTTTTTCTTTGTTGTTGCTACTAGGATGTTTTTTGCTGCGTTTGTTAATGCTGAAGGGTTACGTATGTTCGACTTCATTGCATATAGTTTCTTGCCGATGCGCCGTCTAGGCGCGGTTCTTGCGTGCGTTCGTGCGTTCCTCTCTCTCTCTCTCTGTCTCTCGCGGTCTCTCCCGCTCTCCCTCTCTCTCTCTCTCTCGCCTGGCGCACGACTGGCCTTGTTTAAGATGCAGCGCCTGTTACATTCAGCGTCGTCGCTGGTAGATTCGTGGTCGGAACCTGGCCCAATCCGGCAAAACCTGGATGAGTTGAGCTTCATCCCGCTGAAACGAATCCCGTCGAGTTCCGTTTGATCTGGCCTGCTCCGGCTTCATGGTCTCTCAATCGGGGACAGAGGCCCTTCGTTCTTACGAAGACGTCTCAGGAATTGCCTCCTGTCGGCGGCGAATTCCGAACCCTACCCTCGACGATCAACCAGTCGGGCCACTCGATGGGCGGCGGGGGTAGGATTTGAATTTCGCTCAACACGTGGCGAAATCCGAACCCCATACCCGCCTCCCATCGATTCAGGAGGATCAATGGTTGGTGGGGGTGGTGTTCGGATGGCGCCACCTGTAATCGTTCTTGCGAAGACCTCCTGGAAATTGCCTCCCAACCCTGTGTCCCGCGGTCGGGGAGGCCTTTCTCACCAGTGGGCGCGGACGCAGTGCGCCGCGCTGTCGCCCTGGAGGCCTCTTGGGGGGGCCTCTTGGGGGCCTCCCGGGGGCACCCTGGGGCGGAAAGCTCGAATCGTCGGTTCGGGCTCCCCCTCTTGGGGCCCCCCTTGGGGCCCTGTTGGGCCGTCCGGGGCGCCTCTTGGGCCGTCCTGCAGTTCTTGGCCCCCGGATCCCCGACGGAGGGCCCCGGGGCCCGAAAACGGGCCGCGGGTGGCAATCTATAAGAAACATCGCCGGTTCGCAGAGTCGCGTCGTCGGAGGTCTCCCGGGGGAAGTCCCTCTGCGCCCCGGGGGGGGCCTCGTCGTCGGCACCCGGCCCTGCCGAGGCCTCCCAGACAATCTCCGAGAGGGGGGGGCACACGCGGGCAGGCGCAGGCGGCCGCGGGAGAGGCAGGCCAGGGAGGGCCGGCAGAGCGAGAGAGGGAGAGGGAGAGAGAGAGAGAGAGAGATCGGGGATGGGCAGACCTCCTACCTTGACACGTCGATTGGTGAATTGTCCGTTTTCGGTTCTCGAGAGGGCGCCGCGGCCGTCATTTTCCAGGCTTGCGCCCGCCAGGTTCGGGCCCGATGTCGTTTTCATTAAACCACGTCCTACTAAAGGGAGGTCTGTCCATCCCCGGAGAGAGAGGGAGAGCGCGCGGGGGGGGGGGACGGAGGGTGCCGGCCGGACCGAGGTCTGAGGTCGAGGCCGGTTTCGGGGAGAGGGTCCTCGTGTTCTTCGTGGTTGTTGGATGCTCTTGTGCATCCTGGGGTGGGTGCCCTTGGGTGTTCTGTATGTTCTGGCCGGCGGAGGGTCTCGTGTTCTTGAGGGGTGGTTTTTGTTGGCCTAGGTTCGACTGTACGATCGGACCGAGGTATATGATGGTCGACTCGGGGAGTGTACCCGAATGTTTTTCGTATGTGTTGTCCGCTATTGTGAATCATGGGGACGGGTATCCTGAAGGATGGTCCTTCTGACCCTCTGTCCCGGCGGAGGGTCTCATGTCCTTGAAGGATGTTCTATTTGCCCCTGCTCCGACTGTGCCAACGAGACGCTGCCGTTGGGAGCCCGTCGGCGTGCTACTCCGTCCTTTCCTCAAGGGAGGAAAAACCACCCGGACCCGACAAGTGGCGTTTATTAAACGGCCCTGGGCGTTTACTAAGCAGCCCTGCCCTGTTCGATTCCTCCTTTGGGTGCGTTTACCAAACGGCTTCGAGTGTCGAGGTGATTAATTTGGGGGTGCATTTTCTGCCTTCTGGTTTCGCCCGAGAAACGGGTGTCTCTTCAACGGTAGTCGTAAGTCGGGCCTGTCCCTCTACAGGAGGAAACATTTAGAAATAGTCAAAAAAATAGTATGGGGACGATGTTTTGACTATGTTTGGACATATTTGGGTATTTTGGGGGTCTTTTTCATGTTTCGCCCAAAATCCCCCTGTAGGGGGACAGGCCCGACTCAACAGTAGTCGCCGATGGCTTCCCCCGGCGGCGTGCCGTTGACATTACCATGGTTCCCCTCGGCGCAGGCCTGCAGGAGGAGCGCGCCTCCCACCCGAGGAGGCTGCGGGGTGACGACGAGGCCTGCGTCTGCGGCGACGACGCCTGCGTCCCCTGAGGTCCGGCCGTTGCCAGGGATTCGCACTATGGGGCGCTTTCCGCCGGGCCTCGGGCCCCAGGACCATCTCGGATCGATCTTGCTTGCAAGATGCAGCAGAAAGATTGGGTCCATGGCTCTCGGTCGTGATTTTTCGCGATGCTACATCTTCTGGACGGGGCTAGGACGAGGGCAGATCCCTGCCTGAGCGTCACCCGATTTTATCCTCGTCCTGGCCTCGCCTTAATGTGCTCGCAACATCGGTTCTCGAGGTCTACGACGATGACCACGGCGACGATCGGCGCCGACGCTGGCAAGCCACCCCGCAGGGACCCGGCGGCCCCCTGGAGCCCTGCGCTCCGTTGGAGCCCCGGCCCGGGCGGAGGCGTCCAGGGTGGCGCGGGGCGCGGCGCGCAGCTGCGCCCTCTGAGAGGTGGGCCGGGCAAGCTTTGTGGCACGTGCAGGGCCGAGCCCCCCACTCTCCACTCGTGGTAGCGTAAAACTCGAGTTCGCCAGAGTTCGGGTTCGCCGCCGCTTTTCGGCGAGCCCGTTCTGGACTTCGATGGTGCGGCTTTGGTGGGATGTTCGCAGCGGGGGCTCGCATCAAACTTCAGAGTGGGTCTAGTCATTTGCCTGACGGCCCCGTCATCCGAACCCGAGTCTTGCGTCTCCCCAGTTCCCCTCTCCTCGCTCCTCAGCGGGAGATGGAGCATGCATCGATCCCCCCGATCGGCCATCGGTCACCGATAGGGGCCCGATAGCCCACCCCGTCCAGGAATTTGAGGCCAATCGCCGATCGATCTGCGATACATCGCCAATCCTTGACGTTTCGAGTATCCCCACCATCCCATCCAGACACGATCGGAGGCTTTCTTCAGGCTTCTTGGAGGCTATCTTGAGCCATGTTCGGCTAGAGGGAGTCAGAAGCTATCCTGAGCTCGGGGGCTTTCCGAGGACCCCCTGTGGGGCCTCTTGGGCCACTCTTGGGGCCCTCTTGGGGCTCATTTAGGGTGTCTTGGAGCCCTGTTGGGGCTCCTTGGAAGGGTTTGGAAGGCCTCTTGGGCCCCATGACTCTTGGGACCTCTTGGGGCCCTCTTGTCGCTTTCTTGGGCCGTCTTGGGGCCGTCTTGAGGCCATAAGGGCCCATCGGGAGCGAAAATGCGAGAAGGCAAAAAACATGGATGTTGCACATTGGTGCTTGAAGGATTTGGGCTTCTTGGGGGGGGGTCCTTGGAGGGTTCGGAGGGCACTTGAAACCGTCTTGGGGCCGTCTTGAGGCCTCTTGGATGTGTGTCGGAGGCTATCTTGAGCCATCTTGAAATGTCTTGAGGTATCTTGGAGGCCACGTGGGCTCGCTGAGGCCCTCTTGGATGGAGAGGTCGAGGCCTCCCACCCGAGACCGACGGCCGTCTCGCTCTCTCCCATCCGCCCCCCCAACAAGGAAATGGTATCCGAGTCTCAGCACGCTGCCGAGGAGCGCCTCGCACGCCATGTGCGCCACGGGTTCAGGTGCACCATACACCCTGGAGTCCTAAGCGTGCGAGGCGCGGCAAGTGCGGCACGTGCTCCACGAGAGGGCTGCGATGCCGCCGGCATCCACAACTTGGAGGACGACAAGCCTGGCATCGACGAGTGTTGTTCTGATGATGGTCCCGCAACCGCTGAGCGGTGGGGCTCTGCAGACATGGCGACATGGGGACCCACGCGGTCTGCGCAGCGGGGCCGCGAGGTGCTCCTTTCAGCTGCAGCATAACAAAGATCCGTCCACCACAGCACACGGAGGGCCAACCGATGACGGGACTGTGTGCTGTTCTCTGCCAAAGGGTGGTCGGCCTTCGCGCATCAAAGAATATGCCGGCACCCCCGCCGCCCCTGTCAAAAACCAGCGCAGAATTGTCGCGCCCGCCGAGGAGTTTCAGCACGTTGCTGAGGAGCGCCACGCACGCCACGTGCTCCACGGGTTCCAAGGCTCGCCGGGCGCGCCGGGTGCGGCACGTGCTCCACGTGTTGGCAAGATGCGGGCACCCTCGCCGCCCCGTTTCCAAAAGCCAGTGCAAGATGGTGGCGGGGCGGCCGCGCGTGCTCCAGATTTGGAGTCCCTGTGCACACCTGCATGGCTTTTGACAGGGACGGGTGCCTTGCGCGCAACTTGCGCGTCAGACACGTCGAGAGCCAACGCAAGTGGTGGATGCGGCGCCCGCGCGTGCTCCAGAACTGAAACGAGGCGCATCATATGTGGTTTTTGACCGGATCGTTGTCCTGCGCACGTCGGGCAGTATGCCAGCACCCCCGCCGTCCTTGTCAGAATCACTGCTGAGTTGCCGCGGGGCGCCCGCCGAGTGGTCGCGGGGCGCCCGCGCATGTTCCGGATTCGGACGCGAATTGCATGGATGAGTTGTTTCTGCCAGGGGCGATCGGTTCGCGCGCAACTTGCGCACAAGAAACAGCATGCCAGCACCCTCGCCGTCACTATCAAAAACCAAGGCAGAGTGGTCGCGGGGCGCCCGCGCACGCTCCAGATCTGGAAGCAGAGTGCATTCTGCATTGTTTTGTTGACTGGGAAGGCAGGGGGCGGGGTTGGCATGTTCCAGGTTGGCTCACAGTCGGGTGGGGGAGGGGGGGTGTTAACGAGGAGCAGTGGTCTTAGGAGCGCCACGCATGCCACGTGGTCCACGGGTGCCAAGTGCACCAGGCACCTTGTATGCCCAAGCGAGCCAGGCGCGCCAGGTGCGGCACGTGCTCCACGTTTTAGCAATATGCAGGTCCCTCTGCCGCCCCTTTCAAAAACCAATGCAAAATGGTCGCGGGACGCCCGCGCATATATGGAGGCAAAGTGTATTCTGTGTTGTTTGTTACAGGGAGGGTTGGCCTACGCGCAGCGAGCAATATGACAGCACCCGCGCCGTCCCGATCAAAAACCACTGCAAACTGGTCGCGGGGCGCCCGCGCACGCTCCAGATGTGGAGGCAAAGTGTATTGTGTATCGTTTGTTTGACTGAGGTGGTTGGCATGCGCGCAGCGAATAACATGACGGCACCCGCGCCGTCCCTGTTAAACATCAATGTTAAGTGGAAGCGGGGCGCCCGCGCATGCTCCAGACGTCAAGGCAAAGTGCATTCTGTATATCTGTTTGACAGGGCTGGCTAGCGCGCAGCGAGCAACGTGACGACACCCCCGCCGTCATTCTCAAAAACCAATGCAAAGTGGTCGTGGGGCGCCCGTGCATGTTCCAGATTTGGAGGCCAATTGCATGCTGTATCTTTCTTTGACTGGGATGCCGGGGGGGGGGGGGAACGTCGCGAGTTGGCCCACAGTCGGGCGGGGGGGACGGTGCATTTGAATAAACAACAGTGATAAACCGTTCCCCAGAGCATGTGCGGGAGGGGCTTTGGCAGAGAAAGAAGACACAATCAGTTAAACCATTCACGCCCTATGTAAAGGGCTGGTGGGATGTCAATATTCCAGGTTGATGGCACCCCCCGAGCCGTCCCCGCCCCCCATCGTTCGCCTTTGAGTTCCTCCGTCCTGGTTCGTGAGGGGGCGAGGTGGAGAGGGAAGGTCGGGCGGGATGCTCCTCCTCGTGCCGCTGGTCTTGCTCCTCTCCTTCCCCCTCCTTCTTGGCGCCGGTCGGTCTTGAATTAGATGGTCGGAACGCTCACGTGTGACCAATACGATGTGCAACATGCAACATCAGAAGCCTCAAAGGTGCAAAGAGAGACGCACAACAGCATGGAAAGGTTAATTCAAGGCTTTGGCAGGCGCCAAGAAGTTGTGCAAGCTGCAACTCCAAGCAGGGGCAAACCACTGAGCCATACCTGGTCATACCTGATCACCAGCAGGTACCGGAAGGTGAAGGTGAGCGAAAAACGCAACGTGCGACATGGCAGCAGCGTACACTACTAGAGCATGAGGCGAGGAGTCCACCATGAGCAGAGGACGCAGCAGATGTATGGGATAAAGTGGGATGACAGGTAAGCTGCAGATTTCATGAAATTGTCTACACACGAGCGAGCCCACCTTGCTGGCCCCAAATGGCCAATATGGGTGCATGTTGAAGCTTAAGCTGGCACAGACGCATGTGAGTAATATGTACTCGACCGTGGGTGAGGGGAGCATGCGGGTAACCTCTGCCAGGGTCAATCAGTAAGATGTGGATTCGAAGTGAAGGGTCCTCTGCCGCCTCCTCCTCCTCCTCCTCCCGCCTCTCCTCCTCCCCCTCCTCGTCCTCCCCCTCCCCCTCTTCCCGCTTCTTCTCACGCCCGCGATGTTTTTCTTTCCCCCTCTGTTCCTGCTCCTCCTCCTCCTCCTTCTCCCTGTCCGGACCTTCCTCATTCTTCGTCCTCCTCCTGTTTTTGTTCCTCCTCCTCCTATGCCGTTTCCTCCATCCACCCCCTATTTCGGCTGTCGTTTCCCAGAGAAGGGGCACCCGCCCGGCAGTTGCGAGCGTGACTCGCGCATTCGAGGACGACCGAACCGAACCACCCCCTACACCCCTTCCTCTGATGCCTCTTCTACGAGTGGGGGGGTGCTTGACCAGCGAGTGTAACGATGGCCTCTCGAGGGCCGTGGCTGCCCTGCCGCCGGTTGCGCCACCGGCTGACGCGTCCTCCGCGTCATCGTCGGCCGCGCTGCCGTCGGCGCCGGGCACGGACTGGAGGCCCCGCTCGGCTCGGCGGGGGCTGGGGGGGGGGGAAGGCGAGGAGGACATGGACGATGGAGCGAGGGAGAAAGGGAGGGAGGGAGGAGGGAGCGATGAGGGAGGAGGAGGAGGAGGAGGAGGAGGAGGAGGAGGAGGAGGAGGAGGAGGAGCAGGAGAAGGAGAAGGGCGGGAGGAGGAGCAGGAGGAGTAGCAGGAGGAGGAGGGGGAGGAGAAGGAGGGCCCCGCCGCACGCGGCCCCACGTGGGCGCCCCCTCCCGCCCTGAGCGCTCGTGCACCCGACCGGCGCTCCCCTCCCCGCGCACGCGCTGTGCTCCGAGGGCGCGCCGCCGCCGCGCCGCGCCCGCCCGGCCGCCGCACTGCCCGCCGCCGCCGAAGCCCTCGGGCGCTGCGCACGGGGGAGGGGAGGCGAGACGGGGAGGAGGGGGGGGAGGGAGAGATGGGGAGGAGGAGAGGCGGGAGGAGAGGGAGGCCCCTGCATTTCGGATCCGCACCTCACTCCTTGGCCCGAGCAGAAGAGGCAAGACGAGGGGGGAGGGGGAGGAGGAGGAGGGGGAGGGGGAGAGGCGGGAGGAGAGGGAGGCCCCTGCATTTCGAATCCGCATCTCACTCACTGGCCCGAGCAGAAGTTACCCGCATGCTCCCCTCACCCGCTGCCGCCTAAGCCCTCGGGCGTTGCGCACGGGGCGCGTTGCTCTTTTTTATGCCCGAGGGAGGCTCCTTCGTGCCCGACAGAGGCCCGAGAGAGGCCCCGAAGGGCCGCCCCATGAAGCGACGCCCGAAGGCCACTCCCTCCATGGCGCGCGCGCCCATCCCGCGCGCACTGCGCACCGGCGCGTCCCCCAGGCGCCCCCGCCGCCGCGCCCCGCGGCTGGCGGGCCCCGAGCTGCCCTCGTCGCGCGCAGCGTCTCTCGCGCGAGGCCCGCTCGCAGCGCCGTCCGCGCGAGGCCCGCGCGAGCGCGGCCCCGAGCCGCCCACGGCGCGTCCAAGGCGTCCCGCGGAAGGCCCACGCGCACGCGGCCTGGCCCTGCACTGCGCGGCATCAGCCCCGCGGCCGCCGCCGGTCTCGGGACGGCAACCGCGCCGAGGGGGGAGATCGAGCGAGGCTATCAGGGGCAACGGTTGGGGGGATGGGCTCAGGAGGGGGGACGCATGGAACCTCCAATAGCCCATCCAGCGCTGTGAGGGGCCCGTCAGCCCCAACCCGCCCAGGACCTGGCGGTTTCGGTATCGGGGGCCCATCGCCGAGGGGGGGTCGGGCGGGGCTAGGACAGTCTGGGCCACCAAAAGGGGGTCCAAGTGAAATGTGTCGGAGGATCGCGCCGCATCGCCGATGCATCGGCGATTCGGCTCGATGCGGAGAGCCCGAGCTTCTCCTCGCCGATGGCGCCGATTCATCGCCGACGTGATGCATCGCCGATGCGCCGGCGATTCATTGGCGATGCGGCGTGATCTTCCGACCCCATCCATTTGACCTCATCTGAGAGGCTTCCAGGCAGGGAGGAATTAGTTCCAGGGCGTTCAGGAACGCTATGAAAAGGCCGTGGCGCTCGATACATTCCCCAGATCCGATAGATCTCGGAGATGTTTTACGTATTCCTGTCCGATTTTGTCTCTGTCCTGGCTTCGCCTCACGGGGGGTCCGGCTACACGCCAGCGGCCACTTGCTCGCAGCCTGGTGGCCAAGCCGCGGCGCCCGCGCGCACGCGCGCCAGCGCGGAGGTCCGCAGCTCCTGCCGGAGTCCGCGTCCTTGCCCTTAGCCGTGGTCCTATACGGTCTGGTGGTTTGGCTTGGCGTGTCGCGCCGCTGCTTCTGGCCCACAGCGCTGTGGCGCGACGCGCCATTCGCATCCTGGTCCCCGGGCGCTGACGCCTCGAACGCTTCCGGGCCTCCCGCCCCCGAGGAGCTGAGCGCAACGCTGCCCGCTCGCAGGGCATAGCGTGTCGCCGGCGGCCGCCGCCACGACACGCCGGACCACGGCACAGGCTGCCCCAGAGCCTGTTTTTTTTTAGATCCAGGCAAGCTTACTTGCATGGCGTTCGACCCCCCCCCCCTCTCCCCCCTCGCCCCCCTTCAATCGGACGCGAGCGTGCAAGTGCCTTTCGACTTGCGTGATTTTTTCACACGTCGAATTGTTTTCGGCTTGCTTCAGACTCAGCACCCCCCCCCCCCCGTCCACGCAAGGAAGCTTGCCCGAATCCAAAGAAAAACGGGCCGGGCGAAAGGGGGGGATTGGGAAAGGGGGGGTTACGAAATTTGCTGCATGGTTTGGGCCCCACGGAGGGCCCACTTCCTCGATACATAGCCGCCTCAGGCGCCGGGAGGCGCTGGGAAAATCAGCTACGTGAGCTGATTCTCAATCCCCCCCTTTGCTATCCCCCCCTTTCGCCCGACCCGAGAAAAACAGGCACCAGGCTGCCCCACATCCCGCAGGACGTAGCGGCAGCAGGGGCTGCGCCCGGCCATCGATGGCGGCAGCGCAGCGGGGGCAGCTGCAGCGGGGGCCCGCAGCAGCCCCGCGCTCCGAGGTGTCGCCCCCTCCCAGCCGCATAATCTCCTCGTCGCCGCTGGGCGCCTTCCAAGTACAGGAGGCGTAAAGGCGCCTTCGACAAGGGCTCCCAGGAGGGCGCGAAGTTATTCGCGCTTCGCGCTTCGCCGTCCTCCTTCCTCCTCCCCCTCCTCCTCGTCCTCCTCTTCTCCCCCTTGGGGGGCGGCGCGAGAGCGCGAAGTTATTCGCGCTTCGCGCTTCGCGCAGCGCGAAGCGCGAACTTAGGAGCCCTTGCTTCGAGTTAAGGGCGCCTAAAGGTTCTGGACGCCCGAAATGGGTACCGAAAGAATGGGTACAATGCCCAACAACAATTCCTGTTCATTCTGAACAGGACCCGCTGTCGGCGCCGCCGCGGCCTGTGTACATTTGAGACAGAAGGCCGCCTGCCCAACAGCGGCCGCTGTTGGTTTGGGACAACATTTGCTGTTGGGCATGGTACCCATTCTTTCGGTACCCATTTCGGGCGTCCAAAAAGGTGCCTTCGCGATAAGGTTGTCCGAAGGCGCCTCCGAGCTCAGGACGCGGTGAAGGCGTCTTCGAGTTACAGGCGCTCTGAAGGTGCCCTCGTGTCGTTTGGGTGGGTCCCAAGGTCTGGTTGCCGACTCTTTGATCCCAGGTGTTCGATCATGGACCCCTTGTTAATCGCAAGCATCCAGCTTCTGCGCCGAAAACCGGAGGAAACCGCCACAGACCGCCAGAAAGCGACGATGACCGCCGAAGACCGTCAGAAAACCGCCGAGAACCGTCCGGAGATCGCCGAAGACGGCTCAGGAGCGATGGGTACATAGGGGCCCATAGTCTTGGCATCGGCGAGGACCATCGAGGAGCACCCTGGATCATCGAGCGAAACACTGATGCTCGACATCGCAAGACGCACGGGGAACGGGCATCCGAGCGATGGCGAGTAGGTGCGTCTCCACCGCTGCGCTGCGGCCCGAGGGCGCCGGTTCCCCGGGGCGGTGCTTGCGGAGAGACCCCCGCCTCGCCGGGGGGGCACGCGGGCTGCTGCTGCCCGGCAGCCGAGGCACGCGCGGAGGCGAGGCGTGTGCGAAGGGGAGAGAGCGGACGGTCGGAGCGGTGGCGAGCAGTCGAAGGCGTAACTGCACCGCCAGGCGGGCGCGCGGCTCTGAGCAGACGTGCTTCAGGAGGGGAAAAAACGCACAGACACAATTAATCGACGATTCCCCAGAAAATATGGGAAAATATGGGAAGTGGGGGGGAAGACAAAAACCAAGAAAATATAAGAAACTATGGGGAATCCTGTTATTTGTGTGTGTTTATTCGTGTGTGTCAGGGCCCCTTCAGTGCTCCGCCCGCGCGGCCGTCGGCCCCGGCGGGGGCCCCGTGGCCGGCGCCCCCCTCCGCAGCGGCGTCGGCGGAGCGGGGGGTGCCGACGGCCGCTCCTCGCCGAGGGGAGGCGCGCGCCCCCGCGCGCGCCTGCCCGGGGCCACCTCGGCGAGGGCGCCGCCGCAGCACCCGGGGGCAAGGTGAGGAGGGGGGGGGGAGGGAGGGATATGCACTGCTCCTCCTCCTCCTCCTCCTCCTCCTCCTCCTCCTCCTCCTCCTCCTCCCCCTGATCCTCCTCCTCCCCCTCCTCCTCCTCCTCCTCCTCCTCCTCCTCCTCCTCCTCCTCCTCTCCTCCTCCTTCTCCTCCTCCTCCTCCTCCTCCTTCCTCCTCCTTCCTCCTCCTCCTCCTCCTCCTCCCCCTGGCGTTCGCCCCAGTCCCTGACGTCAGCCGACGTGCCGCGATGGGCTCAGGGGGGGGGATACTCCAGATTTCGTAATAAAAGGGAGGGGGTCTGGACCCTCCAAGACGAGCCATTTCAGAACCCCCCCCGCGAGAGAACCCCCCAAAGCGTCGTCCCCAGACTCCCCCCAGGCCCTCCAAGATAGCCTGGGAGAGACCCCCCCCGAAATGAGACCCCCCTCCCTTTACTACGAAATCTGGAGTATGCAGTGGGCACTGATCAGTAGGTCGACCTTGCCAGATCAAGGGTGCCCTTGTTGCGGGCAATAGTTATATCCACATCCAGTGCGTCTTGGATTCTTGGGCTCTCTCCCCAGAAACCGTCGACGCACTGGATATGGATAAAAATCTGGCCCCAAGAGGCTTGATTTGTCCATATCCAGTGCGCCTCGGCGTTGCGGCACCTCTTCCCGAAAAGTCCACGACGCTTTGGATATGGATATAAGTACTGCCCGCACTTGTGTCCTGTGTCCCGCGTCCGATGCCTCCTGCATTCCTACGGGAGTGTGGCACCCGGAAGGGTCTCGTGTCCTCTCGCGTGTCCTGTCCAATCAAGTCCGACTGTATGCTCACGCGGGGGTGCATCTCTCGGGCCGGACGAAAGGGGGGGATTGGGAAAGGGGGAGGTACGAAATTTGCTGCATGCAGCTAGTTTCGGCCCCACCGAGGGGCCCATTCCTCGATGCATAGCCGCCTCCGGCGCCGGGAGGCGCCGGGAAAATCAGCTACGTGAGCTGATTCTCAAACCCCCCTTTGCTATCCCCCCCTTTCGCCCGACCCGAATCTCGAAGAAGAAGAAGCGCCCTGCACAGAAGCTTCTGGCCCTCCGCGAGGACTTCGCGGATCTGCGCGGGGCACCCCTGGTGGCGCCTCCGGCGCCGCCCCTGGCGCGCGGAGCGCGCCAGGGAGAGGGGTCCAGCGCAGATCCAAGAATTCCACGCGGAACGCCTAAAGTTGATGTTGATGCCGTTTCTTCTTCTTCTTCTTCTTCTTCTTCTTCTTCTTCTTCTTCTTCTTCTACGCATCGACCCCCAATCGCCGATGAATCGCCGATGCGGGGCCGGATAGGCCGCTCCTTCCAGGAAGGTGCGAGTTCGCTTGATAGGGGGTCCGTCCCCGAGATTTTCGCGATGCATCACCGATTCCATGTCGACTACTCCCCCCCCGAGCCAACCTCCCCCTGGCGTCCCGTGGATTGCTCCTAGGCCTCGTGGAGAGGACAGCGGTGTATACATCACCGCTACGAGCCATCCATATTATACACCGCCACCCTCCCTTGAAGGCACAGGGAAGTCTCGTCGGGTATTTTTGCTTAGTACTTCGTCGCGTAGAGAAGGAGGATGATTCGAGGAAATGATGCGCTCCTTGATGAGGCATTCGAGAAAGGGCCTCGCCTCCGAGGGTCGACAGAGTTGGTGTCTCTTCCTCGGCGGAAGGAGGCGGAAGGTCGGCGGAAGACGGCGGAAGTAAAACCAGGCCGCCTCCGCCAGCGGAAGCCTGGCGGAAGGCAGCGGAAGTGAAAGTCTGCCCCCTAAGAGATGGGAAGGTTTTTCGCTTCAGGGTTCTTGTAGAACCCGCCAGATGTGCCAGAAGTCCCAGATGTTCAATATCTCCTGTCGTTTCACACGGGCTGCAAACACGAAAGCCGCTAGATATTCTGGAATTCCTTGATCGCATCTTGAGCCAATCGCATCATGACGTCATTATTCTACAAGAGGGGGTCGGGGGAGGAGGGGGAGGAGGAGGAGGAGGAGGAGGAGGAGGAGGAGGAGGAGGAGCAGGAGAGGAGAGGAGAGGACAGGAGAAGGAGGGGAAGGAGGAGGAGGAAGAGGAGGAGGAGGAGGAGGAGGAGGAGAATAAGGGGGGGGTGATGAGGTGGGGATCGGTTGGATGTCCGGGCAGGTGCGGGGCAGGGCACGCCCGGGACGGTTCTGCGCCGCCGCCAGGTGTCCGGATCTGCGCGAGGTCTCCGACGAGGAGGTCGCAGACGGCCACTGGAAGCTGCCGCCCGCGGTGGCGGCGGCCGTCGGGGCTTCCAACGGCTTCCTGAGGCTCCGCGCACCTGAGCTCCTCATGGGCCGCTGCTTGCCCGCTGCCCTTCCCGATTTCTCGCTCCCTTCGGCCGTTCTTCCTCCCTTCTCACCACCCACCAGACCACCCGAACCCAACCCAAATGCTTCAATCTGCCCTCCATTTCCAGTGGGGGGGTCGGGGAACATGGAAAAAACGCATATGGAATCCGTACCTCCCCCAACCCGAAATTTGGGTCTTCGGCTTGGATTGAGGTGATTTGATAATTAGGTAGTCACCTTCACCCCCCGTCCCTTCCTGCCTTCGCTCCGTCCTTCGCTCCCTCTTGCCATTCTTCCTTCGGACCATCTCTCCTTCCTTCCCCCCCCTCCCGCCCGCGATACTTTTACTATACTGTCGCTCTTGCGATGAATCGCATCAGAGCGTGCCACTTGTTTTGGCTGTACTGTATCGGCCGCAGCGTGACCTGATCACTGTTGCATGTGATGTGTAATGTCCACACGTGGAACATGTGATTGTCCACATCGTGTCTTCTGCCCCCCGCTGCAAGCATGATTATGATATAGACCGTCGCAGAGTGGCATTTGCAGGAGCACGCGTTCCATGTTCAATCCGATGGTTACGCGATGTTGGCAGTGTTGTTGATGTCCATAGTTATAATACAAGAGCGTGCAGCAGGAACTGAAACGGTGGATTCTGCACGGGTGTAGCGTGCAGTCCAGTGACGTTGTCGCCATCACGCCGCACTCCAGGAAGGTCAGTTTTTTAACCGTCCATGGAGAGAATTCGAAGGGTCGGCGGCGAAATCCGAACCCTACCCTCGCCGATCAATGATTCAGGTAGCTTGGCGGACGGCAGGGGTAGGGTTCGGAATTCGTCGAACACGTTTCCGAAGTCCAAGCCCTACCCCCGCCTGTCATCGATCCAGGGGGCTCGATAGCTGGTGGGGGTAGGCGTCGGATGTCGCCACCTGAAGGGACCCGAGGACGCACCACTTCGAGCCCCTGCAGAATTCGAAACCTGCGTGGACGTGGAGCGCTGACCCGCGCCCCCGTCGGCCAACACTGCTGCAGATCGCAGCCCGCCTCTTCGGCCTCGCCGCCTGCGAGGCCACGGCCGCGCACCGCGACTGCTCGCGGGGCGCCTCGAACCCCGGCGGGCCTCCGGAGGCACTGCCAGCACGCGCGGCTCCGAGACTGCGCTCTTCTCGTGTCTGACAGCTGTCGGGTACAGTAAGGGGGCCCGGTGAGTAGGAGGGCCCCGGAGCCCCCAGAATCACTAGACCAGGTCTGCCGGGTCTGCCGTAGGTATAGTGCTTTTCGGGTGACGGCAGTTCCGGCTAGTGGAGCGGGGCGGGGGAGGCCGCCCCCAGTACAAATCGGCAAACCAGGCCCAATTAAACCCAGTTCTGCCAACGCCCGAGTCTGACGATTTGTTTTGTTTTTCTGGGATGTCGTTTGCCCAGCGTCTTTCTTTACGAGAGGAAAGGCCACCCAGACGCCTACCTCCGTGCATGCAGCGACGCACCACTTCGCGCCTCGCGGCATGGTGCCAGATCGAGGACGCCTGCGGCAAGCCGCCGCTGCCGCCCGTCCTCTTGAAGCGCCAACGTGGCCAGCCGTCCGTTAAACCGAAAGCTTGCCAAGGTGTTGGGCGATGTGCTCCCCCTTGGGAGAGAGAGGAAGAGAGAAGCAGGATAGGGAGGAGGAGGGGGAGGTCTCTTAGGGGCCTTTCGGTCTATCCTGGTGGCTTCCTGGAGGCCACGTCCTTGGGAACTTCTGAGAGTCTCGGGGCCCTCTTGACATGTCTTGGGGCCCTCTCTTAGAGGGCCATGGGGCCCTCATGAAGCCGTCATGGGGACCGATTGGGCCCTCATGGGGAAGTCTTGGGGCTCTCTTGTTGCCCTCTTGGGCTGTCGAGGGCATATTGGGCCGACTTGGACCGTCAGAAGCCTAAAAGGCGAGGAGGGCACTGAAGTCGGTCAAGAAGCGCAGGAACATCAATATCTGGGCTTCTTCGGGGCGTATGGAGGGTCCCTCGGAGAACTTATGGGACGCCTTGGAGGCAGTCTGAGGCCGTCTGGACATCATCTTGTGCCGTCTCGGGGTCGTCGCGTCAGACTTGGCGGCCTTATCTGCCGTCTGTGAGGCGTCTTCGGCCTTCTTGGAGGCCATGTTGTAGCATGTTGGGCCGTCTAGAAGGCAATCTCGGAAACCATCTTGGCCGGATGGGGAGGCGGGGAAGTTCCTTCGGGGTTCGCACGGGTGTTTCTGGGTGTCAGGCGTTTTGACCGCCAGGTCATTGGGAAGCCCTGGGAAATTGCCAGCACGAGCCTTTGAAGGTTTGGCGAGCCAGGCGTCCCTGTGGCAAGGCAGGAGGACTGGCAGATGCCTGGTGGCCTCCGGCCCCTCCTGCCACCCGCGCTCGGGGCGTGGACGAGGGGACTCCTGGAGGTCACCTTGGCGTCTCCCTGGAGGCCTCCTGGGCCCCTGCAGGCGCAGGAGCGTCTTGGGAGCATGCCTCAGGTCGCTGTCGACTGGCAGGGGACAAGGGAGGAGGACTGGCAGATGTCGCGTGGCCGGCCCATCCTGCCCCCCGCGCTCGGGAGACGTGGACAGAGGGACTCCTGCACGGCATCCTGGATGTCTCCCTGGAGGCCTCCTTGGGCCCCCTGCAGGCGCAGGAGCGCATATTGGGGGCATGCTGCAGGCACCGCCGGGGCCTCTCGGCGACCCCAGCGCCGCTGAGGAAGGCCCCCTTGTAGCGCCACGGGGCTGGAAAAAGTCGCTTCGGGGCACCGTCTTGTGGAGCCCCCCTCGCAGCGAATCCCGAGGAGCACCCTTCGAGTCCCGGCCGCGGCCCTGCAGGAACAGGGTCGGGCTTGGCTCAGCCTGTCACTCCGCCGGGCTCCGGCCCACCACGCTTCGGTGAGGCACGCTGTCCACGCCCCGGTCCCCATAGCATCAGCGGTCCGAGCCTTTCCCGGCCTCCCGCGGAGCGGAGCGACACGCCCTCCGCGTGCAGGGCACAGCGTGCCGCCGGGTCCGCTCGCCTAGGCACGCGGAGCGCAGGTTCCCGACCGTGGTCGCCACCGTTCGGCATGTGCGAGTGTGACCGGGCCGGGGTATGCGATCGAGGTCGGCTCGGGGAGGGCGCCGTAGTGTTCTTCATGTTTGTTGCATTTTCTTGTGCATCCTGGGGAGGAGTGTCCTCGGCGGTTCTTCAGTCTGGCAGGCGGAGGGTCCCATGTTCTTAGGGGGGATGTTCTTCCATCTGTGGTCCGGCTGTACACTGCATTCGAGGGGACTTGCGGACGCCCCACGCAGTGCCTACGGCACGGTGGCGGGTCGTGATGCATCCCAGCAGGTCTTCCCGTGTGTGCCCGCCTTCGTCTCGCGTCCGCACGCTGTTTGGTATGGTGCATGCGTGTCTTGGTTTGTGATCCTTTCTCGTTCGCCTCTCCTCCATCCAGTGGTATCTCGAGATCGTTTGAACCAGAGGCGCCCTCTCCCCCTCGCTTTCAAGGCGGGCTGCTCTGCATGTGCCCGCCAACCCCCACTCTCACTGCCCGACATCGTCAACGGATCCTCCCCTCGGTTACTTCCCGATTTGCAACCTTCTGCGCAAGAGTCCCTTCGCCATCCTCCCCATCCTCCCGTCTTCCCTGCCTCCCCTACTTCCACCTCTCTGCCGACGTTTCCTTTCTTCCCCTTCCCCTCCTCACATCCGTTTCCTCTACCGTATGATTATCTCATCCGCTTTATTTGGTTTGCGGTCCCCACCTGCCGAGGTTTCAGGATTGCAACAGCATGATCTTCCGGGGCGACAGAAAGGATCGCTTGGGACGGGTTGCGATATGCATGGCTGGTGTAAGTAAATTGCGCGAGTGTATCCCAGACGCACCACACGCGTGGGGTATTCGCAATTGCTCCTACGTTTCCTCCGCCTCATCCTCGTCCTCGCCCCCTGCAAGGTTAGTAATGGCACGCTCAGCTCCTGTTGGCATTCCACCGCATTGTAAGTAGACTGTTCGCTTTCGCCTTTCGCCTTGCGGCCTCCTTTAGCAGGGAGGAGACGACCACGAGTAAGAGAGGAAGCAAAGGAGGAAGATAGGAACGGGGCAAATGAGGAAGAGGAGAAACGAGGCGAAGTGAGGAGGAGGAGGATGAGGAGGAGGGGTGATGACCAGTGTAAACCCGAGACTCACCAGCGATGTTGGAATACACCCTCCGAGCTCCCTCTTCACAGGCCTCTATCAGGATTCATTTCCACTGAGGGAAGTACCGTTGGGGGACAACCGCGTGACAATCCTGAAGAGCGTTGAGACATACTTCTCCGACCTTCAACGCCATGAGGCAATATGACTGCGTCTTGGCGATCCTGAATCGTGCCAGAAAGCCAGTCCTGGGACTTCAACTCTGGGAATCAACCTTACTTCTGCGCCCTGGCAGACCTGGGCAGTTCCAAAGCACAGTGCTGGGAGGGTGCACCATCAGAACCAACGAGGCTCTTGTACGTTTTAGAGACAAACTGTTGTTGCGCTAAGGCGAGAACCGCATTTTGAAAAGAAACCGCCCTCGATCCGTGGAATCCCTACACAGGTTTAAAAAGAATGCGCGCGGCGCTGAGGCGAGAGCCACAGTTTGAACATGATCCGCTTTCTATCCGTGAAGTGCTTGCGAATTTCTAAAACGAATGTGCGCGGCGCTGATGCGAGAGCCACCTTTTGAACAGGGACCGCCCTCAATCCGTGACAACCTGTCGGATGTTGAAGATGGATGCGCAAGGGGCTACGGCGAGAGCCACATGTTGAGAAGGGACAGCCTTCAATTCGTCAAACCATTGCGCTGTTTAAACGAATATGCGCGGCGCTAAAGGAAGAGCCACATGTTGAAAACGGCCCGCCCTCATTTGTTAACATTGTTGGAGATGTTTGAAACGAATGTGCGCGGCGCGAAGGCGAGAGCCACATTTTGGAAGCGACCCACCCTACATGTGTGAAAGTTTTGTTAGCGTTCAAGCTTGAGGCTTAATTATGGTAAGGAGATCTCAGGCACTCGCCCTGCCAGTCTTTCTGACTTGTCTCGGGTTGCGATAGGGAGGATACTATTCATGAGGAAAAGGAGTTAGGGGGGACTGCTGAGGTGGAGGATGACGAAGATGAGGAGGAGCGTGGAGGCAGTGGAGGTTGATGCACAGAAGGAGGAGGATGGGTGCCCCCCCACCCAATGGGAAGGTCCTCGACGGGATGCGGGAGGCGGACTGCTGCATGGCGCGGCACCGCCTGGAGGCTCACACTCCCGCCACTTCTCAATCCTTCCGCTCCTCCTCCTCCTCCTCCTCCTCCTGTTCCTCCTCCTCCGCCCAGTCCCCGCCTTTCTTCTTCTTCTCCTCCTCCTCGTCCTGCTCCTCCGTCCGCCTCCCCTCCCGTCGTCTCCCGCCATCGTGCTCCTCCTTTCGAGGAGGAGGGGGAGAGGTCTCTCGGGCACACCGTCCCCGACAACGCAGCCGAACTAGGCATTACACGGCTAAGCTTGTTGCGGAATCCTCGCAACATCGCAGTTTTTTTTTTTTTTTTGTCTAGGTGTGTGCGGTGCGGGTGCAGGACGGAGTCAAAGAATGTCCCTGATTTCTTGCCCCCCCCGTGCGCCCGCGCAGTGGACGGGCGCTACATTCAGGCCGTCTGCATCCATGTGTCATCACAAACGTGAAGCTCGTTCATATGAAGATCTCGCTTTCAGACCTGGTGATGTTCTTTTGTGGTGCCTCCTTTGCGGGTGCTACTCCCAACAGCAGGTTCGAGACCTCGCAAAGGTCTGTACCCGGCGGCTTCCAGAGAATTGCGCAAGGCGTCTTCCCCCCATCTTGCGTTTGTGGCATGGTTCGCTCAGACCAAACTCCTCGCCTCCGAGCTTGAGGTGATCTGTCACCGTATGTCATCAAGACCGCTCGCCGTACACCATCATGTTGCTCCTCCTCATCCTTGTCCTCCTCCGCATCCCCCTGACGCTGACGCCGCTCGCACTTAGATCGAGCGGCATGCTGCCGCCCTACCCCCCCGGGGCGCTCGTCGGTCGCCCCTAGGGGGGATCAATCCACGTACTCTGTAAACAGTAAAGGGTAACGAAGAGAACCACGTGGGCGGTGAGCGGCCCTCCAGAGGGCGGAGTAGTTAGGCTCATCCTCCCCACCTCCTCCTCCTCCTTCTCCTCCTCCTCCACCTCCACCTCCTCATCTCAACACTCCTTTTCCCCTGTGGCAAGCTCAACCTTTGCTCTGGGTTGTTATCAGGGGTTCGTGGCCTTCTCTGGTGTTTTTTGGGTGCCCTGCAGCTCCGAAGGCCATCTCGGAGAATATTGGTGCATTCTGTCGGCACCAAAGCGCCGGCCGCTTGTCCTGGGTCGCTCGTGTTGGTTTTCGGCCACCAAAGCACGATGCTGGCTAACTACCAAAGCAGTCGCATCCAGTTGCTGCGGTGACCTCAATGGTTGCGCCATAATGTGCATTGGTGCCTACAGAATTTACCAATGCCTCTCGATTCGAACGGCTAGCGTCACGCTGTCTCAAGGCTTGTCCTGTGAGCGTGGCCGACTTCTGGCCGCAGCTAAGTGGCCAGAGGCACGAGGGAAAAGCAACCACCAGCGAATCCACTTTGCAGTTTCATGCGCATCGTTGGAGGACATGGGGATAGGAGAGGAAGGGCGGATGGAGAGGGACGGCGATGAGCTGGATGACGAATGGAGAGGAGGGTGATGGTGAGCACACCCTACCATCATGCAGTAAAGGGTGGCGGAAGCTGCCAGAGCAGCGGTGCGAGGCAGACTTGTAACAACACAGCGTCGCCTCTATCCCCCACGGCTTTTCAGACCCCTCGGTCCAGCTGAATAGGAAGAGATGGAATAGGCAGGCATCCTGGAACTTCATCTCACGACATTGCTTTCGGCCGCAACGTCGCCATTGTGGGCATACGAAGTCCATAGGAATCAGTGTCAAACAACGATATCACCTACGACTCCCTCTCAAACCCTCAGTCATTCATTGTACCAAGTCTCCCAATCAGATTTCTTTTTCGTACGCCCTCATTGCATGCACCCGATGCTCAATTCGTCCTGCCTCCATGCCACGTGCATACTTCTTAAATCCTCCCACTTTCTTATCCAGCAGCCATCAAATTCGGATCCATGTGCTCACGCTTTGTCATCGTGCGGTCTCATTGCGTGCCCCCTCTATCCCCGTGTGGTCTCTCATGCGCAGAAGCATGGTTTCCGTTGCCACACACTTCCCCAGGCCTCTGGCTCTCAGATTTGTTCGATGCGTGGAGCCCCAGAGGTCTGGATCACTTCCCTGAGGCCGGCGTTTCGTCCTGAGCCGTTTGTTGAAGGTCCCGGGTGGGCCGTCGAGGGCCCCCGGAGGCCGAGAACGGTTCAAAGCCGTCCCTCGGGCTTCGTGCTCACTTCGCGAGGAGGTCTGGGGAGGACGAGTGTACGCCGCTGCCGCTGCCCACCCTTCGTCGGCACGGCTGGATTCGCCATGACCTCCCGGAGCACGACGGCGGCGACGATGACCACGACGACGACCCCACTTCCCAAGATGGGATGTTGGGGGACGCGACGACGACGACCACGACCACGACCACGACCGAGACGACGTCCACGACCACGACCATGACCACGACCACGACCATGACAACGACCACGACCACGACCATGACGACCATGTCGACGACCACGATGACCAGGACCACGAAGACGGCGGCGGCGCCCCCGCGCCGCCCGCCGCTGCGCCGCGGTGCCGCCCAGCCGGCCCCGGAGGTCACCCGCGAGGCGGGCGTGGCCGCGCGGCGGCAGGCGCGGGAGGCGAGCACCCAGAGGCAGCTGCGGCGCGCCAGGGCCGAGGCGGGCCCCCGCCGCTCTTCAGAGCTCGCTTTGGGCGGGTTGGCCCAGGAGGCGGTCCGGCGACGACGGGGTGGTGCCATAGGTTTGGTGCAACAGATCTGTTGGGTTGCAATACTTTTGGGGCGTGCAGTGCATTCGGTGGCGCAAATGTGTTGCTGGATTTTCGCGTGCAATGCATTCGTCGCAATACAATGCCGTACAATTCTCTGGCGCAATGCATTTGCAACACAATTGCCCCAAATCTATTGCACCACCCCTTTTCAGCTGGACCCCCTTCTGGGTCGACCAAAATTAGGGTCGGCGATCTTTGTCGGCAGCGAGCGAGGGAGGGGAGTGAGAAGGAGAAGGCCCTCTCAGGAGTCGGCGGGGCGTCTCAGAAGCCCGCTGGCCTTCTGAGAATTTGTTCCGTGTCTTCGGGGAAGACTTCCGAACTTCTCAGAAGACCAAGGCCGGGGAAGACTTCCGAACCTTCTGAGAAGCCTTTCTCTCCTGCTCGCTTCTCCCCCTCGCTCGCCCCGACTTTGCTCGCTTCTCCCCTCGCTCGCTTCTCCCCTCGCTCGCCCCTCGCTTCTCCCCTCGCTCGCTTCTCCGCTCGCTCGCTCTCTTCTCCCCTCGCTCGCTTCTCCCCTCGCTCGCCCCGTCCTGTTCCCCGTTTGGCGCACCCTGGGAGGCTCTCGTCGCCACCGGTGGAATCGCCTCGGCATTCTGGTCAGAACGCACCCCGAGAGAGGTCGGGGGAGCAGCGGCATCGGTACCTTTGAGTTCCTCCCATTAGCGTGCCGCTCTGCCGGTTCTGGCCCACCATGCCTCGGCGTGACTCGCTATCCTTTCCCCTGCCCCCTGGCTTGAAACGTCCCGAGCCCTGTCCGAGCCTCCCGCCCCGCGGAGCGGAGCGACATGCCGTCCGCTTGCAGGGCAGCGCGTGTCGCCGGGGCCGCGACGAGCTGAGCAAGAGTTCCTGAGCGCAGGGGGCATCGAGGGTCGAGGACCCGAGGATCAGGGGCAACGTCAGGGGGGGGGGAAAGGCTCGGGCGGCAGGTTTTCGAATCTGATGGGCCTGTTTTCCATCACCACCACCATAAGTTGGAGGGGGAGGGGGTCCTTCTCCTCCTCCTCCTCCTCCTCCTCCTCCTCCTCCTCCTCCTCCTCCTCTTCGTCCTCCTCCTCCTCCGTCTTTCCCACTTCAACTTATGGTGGTGGTGGTGGTGGTGGAAAACAGGCCCATTAGAACATTTTCGTTGGACCTCGGCTGTGTTTCAGCCTTGGGATTACTTTCCAGCAGCGGCGCCTCGCCGAGAGCCGTTCTTGGGTGCCAGGGTAGTCCCGAGGGGCCGCCGTACAGCCGAGTTGTGGCCAACGTTCGGGATGGATGGGCTCAGGGTGGACGCATCGAGCCTCGATCGCCAAGGGACCGCCGATGGGAGCGCGATTGCCCGCCTCGCCCAGGCTCGCGCGGCCTGGCTATCGGGGCCCTTCGCCGATGTGTCGTCGACCTGTCGCTGGTTGCGGGTCGATGCTCCTGCCCCCGAGCCGATCTGCCGCTTGCGTTGCCCCTCGGCTCTGCCTGCCCTCCGTCGCTCAGCGTGGGCGCTCCAGGCCCAGGCCACGACGCTGTGGGTGTGGGGAGCTCTCAGGAGCGTTTTGCCTGCGCCGACGCTCGCTGGGGGTGCTCCACGGGAGGGATGAGCTCCACAGCCCCGCCTTTCGCGGTCAATCAGGGGAGGAGGCGGTATTGATGCAGCCACCCTTCCCTAGCTTTCGCCTCTGGGGGCTTCTTGGGAAGCCCCCTTCGCCACGGCTGGAGCATCGAATTTTTTGTGCCAGAGCGCACCATGGGAGAGGTCGGGGGAGTGGTGGTGTCGGTACCTTTTTGGTTCCCCGGTCGTTCAGCGGGGGCGCTCCAAGACAGGGGATGAGCTGTCCAGCTTCATCGTGCCCCGAGGTCCCGGCGTCGCCATTTTCTCACGCCAAGGGTCTTCGAGAACGGTTGCAGAAAGTGAGGACTAGGGCTCCGGGTCTTGAAGACGGAAAAAATTGCGATGTTGCAAGTTTTTGCAATGACGGATCTCAGGGAGGGGTGACGCCAGGCACCCTTGGATCCTTCGGTTCTGGGCATCCGAGTTCCTCGTTTGTCGGTCCAGGAGTACGCTTGGTATACGTTTGCAGGCGCGCGCATCCTTCGTGGCCCAAGAGCCCTGCATCCTCAAGATTCTCACGACGCGTTTGTAACCTTTCCACCGTTGTGTTTGTCCAGCTCCCCCATTTTTCCGCTTGCCGCCCTTCCAGTTTTTCCGGATGGGAGGGAAAAGGAACGTTTGTGACGGTTTCTGCTGCAGGTGCGTTTGGGTTGGTCTGGTCTGCGGGGATCTGAAATGCCCTCTGCGACCCCACCCCGGGGCCCTCCGGCCCTCTGAGAGGGCTCCTGCGGCTCCGGGGACGGGCTGTGGAGCCGTGGAGAACTTCTCAGAAGGCTGGAGGGCTTCTCTGTCTTCTCTGGCTGGCTTCTACCCGGGCGCGCTGCCGAGGTGAGCAAGTGGGGGAGGAGGAGGAGGAGGAGGAGGAGGAGGAGGGGAGGAGGAGGAGGAGGAGGAGGAGGAGGAAGAGGAGGAGGAGTAGGAGGAGGAGAGGGAGGAGGAGGAGGAGGGGGAGGATGGGGGAGGGAGAGAGAGAGAGAGAGAGAGAGAGCCAGTCGAGACCACGGCGGCTCTCCCTTGCGGTATTCGTCCCCAGGGCCTCCTGGAGGCTTCCTCGCTTCCGCGGCTGGGTCTGCTCCGAAGAACGGGGCAGGTCGCAGGCCTAGAGGTTGACACCAACACCAATATCGGCGGTGTGCATCCACCGACGGCGGAAGAGGATCCCGATCTCGGTGATGGTGGTAAGATTCTGGCTTCAAGGTGACCAGACTACTACCACCAACACCGAAATCCAGGATCATCTTCCCCCTGAGGAGGCAACCCCCTGTGTTGGTGTTGGTGCCCATTTCCAGGCCTCCAAGCAGGATGGACCCTGGAGGGGTCCAGGCACCGATTTTGAACGGCTTGAGGGCGGGGCGAGAAGCGGAGGGGGGAAGCGGAGTGGGAAGGAGTCGTATCATGGCCTCCTGGAGGGGGTCGGAGTACGCAGATGGGGTCGGAGGATCGCGCCGCATCGCCGATGCATCGGCGATGCATCATGCATCAGCGGTGCGGCTCGATGTGGGGCCCAATTTTTTTCTTTCTCTCTCTCTCTCTCTCTCTCCAGTGCATGGCCGATGCATCGCCGATGCATCGGCCATGCATCGCCGACGTATCGGCGATGCGACGAGATCCTCCGACCCCATCTACTCGGACCCCATCCAGGAGGCCTCACTCGTAGGGGCGGGGATCAGTGGTGTCCCCCTCTCGTCTGTCCGCCCCCTCCGCCGAGCGAGCCGCCTCCGAGCACAGCTGGCCGCCGCCGATGCCCGCTGGTTCTACGGCTGGCCTCCCCGACGCCGCGCCGCAACGTCTGCCTCATTAACCGCTCGCCCGACAGGCCGCAGCGCCAGGAGCCGAGCGGCGGGGGAAACGTTGAGATCCGAAGCTGCGAAAAAGCGCAACATCGCGCAAGGTTTTGATGTTCCAACCTACTTCAGCCTTGATCACTTAAAACTATTTCGAACACCAGGAAAGTACCGAAACTTGAGGGTTTTCACGTGTCGGGCCCTGGGAGGCGATACTCGTTCGACACTGTTTCGGCACTTCTCTGGGTGCTCGGCATTTTATTTCTGGGATGTGGTCCTTAAGTGCGATGGGAGCAACGTGAGCGCAAGGTCACAAGCGGAGCCCCGGACCGTGCCCCCCCTCATTCTGCGGCCATGTCTCGACCCGGATCGATCTCATGTGGCCCTGGCACACGACACCAGGCGAGCATGCCGGGTGTACAAAAAGCGACGCCCCCAGATCTCAGAGGCCCCGACCGCTTCCCTGGGGGTCAGTTCCCCCCGCGGCCCCCGCGGATCCATGTTTGATAGCGCTGAGGCCCGATGGTGGGCCGCCAGAGCAGGGCTCGTTTCGACTCCTCCGATTCGAGTCGCTTCGACTTCGATGGCTTCCGATTCCGATTCGATTCGACTTGGGATTCCGATATGGGTTCCGATCTCTTATTGGAGGCATATTCGCCTGCCGATTTCCGCCGATGCGGCGGTGTGCTTCCACCGAGGGAAGAAGACCCCGATCTCGGTGATGGTGGTAATATTCTGGCTTCCAGGGTGGCCGAAATATTACCACCAGCACCGAAAATCTAGGATCATCTCCCCCCTGTGGAGGCAACCCCCTGTGCTGGTGTTGGTGTCCATTTCCAGGCCTCCAATAGAGGAACGCCACCCGGCTGAAAAACCTCACCGTCGGCAATCTGAGAGGACGTGGAGCGGATGAGGCAGGAATCAGCGGGAGCAGCGGGCGGTGGCTGGGACCCGTCCGCGAACCGCGCCGCGTTGCGCCCTGCCCTCCTCCTCCTCCTCCTCCTCCTCCTCCTCCTCCTCCTCCTCCTCCTCCTCCTCCTCCTCCTCCTCCTCCTCCTCCTGCTCCTCCCCCTGCTCCTTCCGCCCTTCCGCCTGCTCCTCCTCCTTCCTCTCATTTCCTCATCTTTCTCCTCCTCCTCCTCCTCCTCCTCCTTCTCCCCCTCCTGCCCCTTCTCTCCCTCCTCCCCTCCTCCTCCCCCCCGAAAGGCGAGGTCGGCCCGCAAGGCTCTGCCGCAGAAGCGCAGGACCTCTCTGAAGCAGACGGCGCGGGGCTCGGGGGCCAGGAGGTGGGAGCAGGAGGCGGCAGGAGAGGTGGGACCAGGAGGAGGAGGAGGAGGAGGAGGAGGAGGAGGAGGAGGAGGAGGAGCAGGAGCAGGAGCAGGAGGAGCAGGAGGAGCAGGAGGAGCAGGAGGAGGAGGAGGAGCAGGAGGAGGAGGAGGAGGAGGAGGAGAAGGAGGAGGAGGAGGAGCAGCAGCAGGAGGAGCGGGAAGAGGGGGAGCAGGAGGAGGAGGAGCAGGAGGATGAGGAGAATAATGAGGAGAGTATGGATGTTCCAGGGTTCTGGGCCCGCGCCCCCCCTCCAAGATGGGATGCGTCCCAGGACCCCGCGGGACCACCCTCTCCCACCTCCCAAGTGGGATGTGATGTTGGGGGACGCGAGGACGACGAAGACGACGACAACGACGACGACCACGACCACGACCACGACCACGACCACGACGACCACGACGACTAGGACACGCGGCACGAGACCTGAAGAAAAGACCCCCACGACGGTTCCACAGCAACAACAGCAGGGCGGAAGGCCGGGGGGGCGCATCGGTGGGGTGGGGGTGGCCGTTCCCAGTAGCATTTGAGAAGGGTGGGTGGCGGGGGGCGGGGGCGAGTCCTGGACCATGGATGAGGAGTAGGAGGAGGGAGGATAATCAGGTGGAGGAGGAGGAGGAGGAGGAGCAGGTGGAGGAGGAGGAGGAGGAGGAGAACGGGAGGAGAACGGGAGGAGGAGAAGAGGAAGGGATGGAGGGAAGGAGGGAGGGGGGGCGGGAGGAGGAGGAGGAAAGGAGATGGAGAGGGAGGAGGAGGAGGAGGAGGAGGAGGAGGAGGAGGAGGAGGAGGAGGAGAAGGAGGATGATGATGAGAAGCAGGAGGAAACGGAGAAGGAGGAATAGTTGGAGGAGGAGGAGGAGGAGCAGGAGAGGAGGAGGGGGACCCTCTCGCCGCCTGCCTTTCTATTAGCGTGTGGAGGATATTCGAGTACGCTTGCGCCCCAGGAAGGGATGGAGGAAAACGAAGCGAAGAAGAAAGAGGAGGAAGAGAGGGAGGGAGGGAGTGAGGGAGGGAGGGGGAGGTGGAGGAGAAGAAGAGATGGAGGAGGAGGATGAGGAGGAGGAGCCCGGCGGGGGCAGGACCGGGATAGATCGCTCCAGGGCGTTCTATCCCGCAGCGTTGCATCATTCTGCAGCGGAGTCGGCTGGGAGTGTGTGTTCGGGGGCAATTGTCTGAGGCTAAAAAACGTTGGATTTTCTGACAGGAGTGGCTTAGTGCGTCGCCACTAAAGCTAAGCCACCATCCATTTCTGCGGGTAGCCGTCGAAACCCCACGACGGTGTCTGCGCTTTCCTTGCTTGCGCACGACCTCGAGCTGGGGATGAGTGTGGGGGTGGTCGGTGTACGTGGTGCCACTGCACCCCGCTCTCTCGGGCCAAACCTTGAGCAGCGTGGCATGAAGTGCGAGCCCGCGCCGTTGCATGTGTCCCTCACTGCGGTGGGGGCAGAACGGCGCAAGGGTCTGCTCTCAAGGGCGAGGAGTGCCGCTGTGATCCCAGCAGTACCGGCGCATGGATTCTCGTATGATGGCCTGCAGGTGCAGGGGCTGAAATATTTCTCCTTCCATGGACATTCAGTCCAGGCTGTACCGAAGTTGCTGGTGTGCCGACGCTGCGGTGCGCGCACCTCGATCGAGAAACCAGTCTGGCGGGGTTTGCTCGCGGACTGTCGGGGCCAAAGCCGCCGCCGCCCCTGTGCAGGCCTGCCGCATCGAGGCTGCCCTGTCTGGACGCGAGGTCCGCCAAGCGGGCGGTTCCCCCAGGTTGCGGCTTGGCCGCAGTCTGGTGGGAGACGTCCTGGTGGTGGTCCTCGGCCGTGGGGTGTGCGAGACCGAAGTGTCCGGAACCCCGTCCCCTTCCACGTTCCGCTCCCAGCCAGCCTTCATTCGAATCGGATGTAGCGCCACGGCTGGTTCCCTGTTCCCCTCCCCTCGCACCTCCTTCGGTTCTACGGATGAAGTGCCCGCATCGCACAGGGGGGGCATCAAGTTCCTGGGTGTGGCAGGCGCCCTGCGCACAGGGCCTCAGCGCCGCCACTCATAAAAGGAGAATCGCCGTCACCGCACTCTTCCCGCCGTCACCCCGCTTCTCCCGTTTTGCTGCGATCGCACCGCCTGCGGTGTTCGTCGAGGATAACCCCCCGCGCCAACGCGAATGTGCATCCTCCCCCCGTGCCCTGCTGATGCGGCCAGTTGGGCTCAGGCGCTCGGCCGTGTCTGGATCGGGGGAGCGTAAGACCCGGGTTTGCCGGGACTCGGGTTCGCCATCGTTTTTGTTGACGACCGCGACTCGGATTTTGACGAGGAGGAGTTTTGTGGGATGTCTGCAGCGGGAGGCCTCGTCAAAATGCAGGCTCGGCCTCGTCATTTTTTTGACGACCTCGTCGGGGATTTCCGAGTCCCCCGTACCCGGGTCTTACGTCTCCCCGACTGGATAGTCCGCCCACAACCACCCTGGGGCATCAAGTTCCTGGGGGTGGCGGGTGCCCTGCGCGCGTGGCCCCGCGGCACCGCCATCCACGCCAGGGGAAGCACCGTCGCCTCATTCTTCCCCCTCTTTTCCGCCATCGCGCCGACGTCTTGAGGCTCATTGCGGAGACCGAGGCCGAGGTGCCGAAGAGCGGACACGCCAGTGATGTGCAGTGCGTGATCCCAGCGCCGACATGTTAGTGCTGTGATGCAGCTATGGTGTTTCTCTCGTCAACTGGCGCGCGTGATATCAGTGCCGACATGTTAGAGCCGTGGTGAATTCATGGTCTTTCTCTGCACAACTTGGCCCGCATGTTTTCCGAGAAGTGGGTCCCGGGCTCGGGCAGTCCGCCCGAATGTGGATCAAGCGCTGGAGAAGTTCTGCTTTTTCTCGTCCTCCCCCGCGCCCCCCTTATGACGTAACGCCCCCCCCCCCCAGTGCTCTCCGTCTGGGCATACCCGCCGGGCCGATGACGGCAATCATCTGCTGGGGTGTGGGGGTGGAGGGGGCAGATGACGTCACGTTTCGCGCCGGCGGCGTCTGGGAATGCCCAGGAATTACCGTGGAGGGGTATGCAGCAGCATGTCAGTGGCGATCTGCACCACAGCGCCTGTGTACACCACAGTGCCTGCGTGCACCACAGCGCCTGTGTATACCACACCGCTTGCGTACACAGCAGCCGCGTGCAACACAACGCCAGTGTGTGCCACAGTGCCCGCGGGCACCACAGCGCTTGTGTACACCACAGTGTCTGCATAGACCACATCAGCCGTGTGCAACACACCACAATGCCTGCGTGGACTACAGCGCTGTGTATACTACGGCGCCTGTGTGCACCACAGCAACCGTGTGCAACAGAGCACCACTGTCGCATGTAGAACTGTAGAAGCAATATTTATGACATAATGGAGCGCCCGTGGATATCACAGACAACAAATGTTTTATGTAGGATTTGGAACGGAATCCCCATGGACAAAGGAGCGCCGCGGGAATCTACGAGTCCTCCCGAGTCCGCCCGCATCATCCTAACTCCTCCCATCTGCGTCCAGGAGGCTCCAGCTAAGTTGGCCGTCCGAGAACCAAGTGGCACGCTGAGATGCGTACGTGCGCTGTAGCGCCGACACGCATGACAGGGGGGAAGGGTGAGGGAGGAAGAGGAGGAAGAGGAGGAGGAGGAGAAGGAGGAGGAGGAGGAGGAGGAGGAGGAGGTGGCGGAAGAGGGAGGGGGAGGGAGGAGGGAAGAACGTCGCATTCTATAATCAGAAGTTTTTGGCGTGGCGTTAGGTGTCCGCAGCAGATCCTCACCTACATGCTCCTTCTACCTGTGCACGCAGGCGCTGTATTGTACACCATCGCTGCGTCACACGCGGATGCAGTGGTGTAGACAGGCGCTGTGGTGTGCACAGGCGCTTCGGTGCACGCAATCACTGTGGTATACGCAGGCGCTGTGTTGCACATGGTTGCTGCGGTGTACACGTTCGCTGTGGTGTGCCCCGGCGCTGTGGTGCATGCAAGCACTGTGGTGTACACAGGGGCTGCGGTGCACATGGCCGTTGCGATGTACGCAGGTGTTGTGGTGTACACGCGCGCTGTGGTGCACGCGAGCATTGTGGTGTACACGGGCGCTGTGGGGCAGATCGCCATCTACATGCTGCTCGCGTCGTCGTCGTCGTCGTCGTCGTCGGCGCTCGTCGCTCTTCGCTCGTTGCTCGTCGCTCAGTGCCAGAATTATTCGGCGGGGTGGGGGGGTGTTACGTCATATCCCCCCGCCGCCCCCCCCCTCCCCACGACGCCCGTCATCGCCGAAAATAACGAAACGCTCTCCTGCGGTGCCACGGCACGCCTGCCAAAAGAGCTCCGCGGGAAGAGTCCCGACTTGGGTGTTGCAGGAGGCGGCTCTGGCCAAAGGTGGCCCCAGCATTTCCAGGGAGGCCCAGGTGGCCTCCAGAGCACCCCTCACGAGAACCAGAGAGGGCCCAAGAGGCCCCAAGAGGGTGCGAAAGCTGGGGGGCACCATGTGCAGGCCGCGCAGACGGGCCAGGGCAGACGGTGTCGGAGGACCGATGCGCCGCGATCTGGGCCCTCATTGTCTCTTTGCCGACTTCGCCGATGCATCGCCGAAGCAGGGCGATCCTCCGACCCCGTTCACGTCCATGCGGGCCGGTGGGCCCAGGGTTTGACAACCTCCCGCGCGATGGGAGGCAGATCATGAGTCAGAGCACGTGCCACTCGCACGTCGGGTACCGCCCTTGGCCTTCAAATTGCACGTCCTTCGGATCCGACGATGCGAAAAAAAATGCAGCACCACGAGACATCGCTACTAGAGCCCTAGACGTCATTGTGAGAGCCAGATTACTTTGCGATGGCCCCGAGGCCTGAAACCTGGCGACCACGCCTGGTGTTTGCAAACATGGCAGCGCCCAGATCTCATAGTTCTGACACGTGCAAGACGCATCGGTACCCCCGTCTTTGACATCCGCCAGCCTGCTTGTTTCAGTCCGCGCCCCAGAGTTCCCGATCCCTTCTCCGGGCCCAGCTTTTCCCACTAGATTGACGTTGCACGGCACCAGGGCCCGAAAACGGGCCCAGAGGGACGGTATCGAGGAAATCGGCCGGTTGAACAAATCATTCATACCGTCACACATGTTGGTTGATAGAGAGTGTTTTGTTATCCACTGTCGATATCGGGCGTGAGCCTGGGGGGCCGGCCACGTCGGGGTTCGCGTCGGCGCCGTTCGGGAATGTCGGGATGGGTTCATTCCCAGGCGGCGCCGGCGCAAATGGTGACGTGACCAGGGCGGGGAAGGGGGGGGCGGGCCGGTCTCGGGCGTGATTGTGAATGATAGAAAGCGGACTCATATATGATCCCAGGCTCCGGGCCCACGGGCCCCCCCCCCCCCCAGATGGCATGGTCCCAGGATTCCTCGGGCCCTCAACCCCCCACATTGGATGGGGGGGACGACGACGACGACGACGACGACGACGGCGACGACGACGACGACGACGACGACGACGACGACGACGACGACGGCGGCGGCGGCGGCGGCGGCGGCGGCGACGACGAAGACGCCCGCTTCGGCTCCCTGAAGCACTGCAGCACCACGCCACACCCAAGGGAGGCAACGACGGGGAAGACACCGTCGACGACGATGCTCCTCTTCCTTCTCCTCCTCCCTCCGTCCGCCTCCCCTTCCCCCCTCCTCGTTCCCTGTCCTCGTCGTCGTCGTCGTCGTCGTTGTCGTCGTCGTCGTCCACAGGGGGGCCACCACCCCCACAGGGGGAGGGCCACGCCACGCCCACAGAAGGGGAGGGGGGGGGCATCGCGCGAGGGGGGGGGCCCGATGGCATTAGCATGGGGGGGGGGGGCAAGCCCTGGACCATATCCGTGATCGTTCAGAATAAATGCCAGGTTAGCCCCGGATGCACGTCTGATGTCCACAGGGCCCGAAAACGAGCTCCAAGAGACGAAATCGAAGAAAACCGCCAGTCGAAAAAGCAGTCGGTGCCCCTCTCCGCGGTCGTCTCCGACCGCTGGGCCGGCCCAAGGTCCACGTCGTGCAGCAGCTCGTCGCGGAGCGCAACGGTCGCCTCGAGGAGTCGCGCGGTGGCATGCTCGCCAGCCCCCTCTCGGGTGCCGCCTCTGACCCGCGTGCATCCCACCAGCTGGGGGGAGAAGCGACACCACCGCCACCAGGGGGGCCACTTCCAGCGAGGAGGTCCACCAGCGAGGGGCACACCGCCAAATGGACGCCCCTGGCTTCTCCCGCTGATGGTTTCTGTGGTGGTGGCGGTGGTGGTGTCGCTTCTCCTTGTTCCTGCAGCACGCCAGGAGGACGAGCAGGAAAAGGTACCGAAACCGCTATCCTTGCCTTGCTTTTGTCTTTTTTGCCTCCTGGGAGGCCCTCGTCGCTTCGGCCATATACTCTCTTTTGAACTCTTTACGCCTCGCGTATCCCCGCCAGCCCATCTCACAGCAGCAACTCTTGCGAAGCATGCCGACAGTCGTGTTTTTCAGGCGTGCGTCCGCTTGGCCCCGCATAT